AAACTCGGTCTGCACAGAATATTAAACTAACCCTCAATTGTGTTAAGTTCCTGTTCCGGTTGTAATTTGTGAGAAGCGGACACTCTTACTAAGAACCGAAGAAGCCCTGAAGAGGCCCACGAGAGGTCCAGAAGAAGAACGGAAGTGGCCCAAAAAGAAGAGGCCCAGAAGAGAGCCCGCAAACAGCTTAGACCATGCTCCCCGAAACAACTTTGGCCCAAAGACGATTTGGGGGCGCCACAACGCACAGCCACTATTGCAGATCGAAGATGTTCGGGGGGGCCGGGAGTGGAGGATTGCTTATCAGGAGACCTCTCTAAAGCACCTTGCTAGGTCGTAATGATACTGATCATCCCTTCTCCTGCAAATGATCGTTGCAGGCTCGACGTTCTTCAGCTCGGCGCCGCAGCAAGTCCGCAGCTTGTTGTTGGTCCTCGAAACTGGGTCCCGGGTGCGCAGAACAAACAGTTATGAAATCCCGAGAAGATGGAGAACACTTGCTCAAACCCTAAACCCGAAACCCTATCAACAACAAGTCTTGGCCAGAAACAGGCCTTCTCACCAGTTTTCCAGAAAACTGAAGTCCTGCAGCAGCTCGTCGGCGGCTCCTTGCAATTGTCGGACCAGCTCGGGGAAGCTTGAAGTGAAGTTCCCGTGGCTCGCCTCTCTTTCAGCGAAGCAAAGAGGAAGCGAAAGCCACTTTTTTTTGCATCGGACTTTTCGAGCTGCCGAGCGAAAGCGGTTGCAGCCGCGGTCGCAGCTGACTAGGCTACCCGACAGAGTACGCTACAGCCCCTTTTCAGGGCCTCAACGGCAGGCGGCTCTGGCCGGCGGGAGCCTCATGGTGGAGCAGGGTGTCCAGCGGTGGGCCATCTCAGGCTTCGGGCTGCAGGGGGTGCACCCAGCCGCCCAAGGCTGTGCTGGCGACGGCCTGCTGCACCGCCACGGACAACATGCCCCACCAGCGCCTCGCCCAAGCATCTCACGCCGCTGCGCGGAGTGTGGGCGGGGCCCGGTGAGCTTTCAACCGGACGATGTCCCGCACGAAAGTGCGAGCCTGCTCGTTCCAGCGTCCGCCCACCTCCGAACCCAACACGACGAGCTGTTGTGGCCCGCCGCGGGAAAGCTCCGGGTAGGTAGTGAGCTTCCGGCGTTCGGCTACCCTGAGTGCTGCTCCGTCGACCACCGCGGCAGAGGGCTGTGGGTGTCCCGTTCGCGTCAAAGGAGACACGAGCGTAGAGTCGCAACACAAGGCTCCACCACTGCGTGTCGCGCCGTACACGACGAGGTCGAGGCGGCGCCTGTCTTCTGCTGCCACGCCTGGCGCCGTGGTGTGGGCCAACCATTGCTGTGGCACGACCTGCCCTTCAGCCCCCAGCGCCTCTCTCGCGACACGGACCCACGCTGGTAGCGTTGTGGCCGGCTCAGTTGGGATCGCTGCGAGCCAAGCGCCCGCCTGTGGCCCAGCCTGGGACCGCAGAAAAGCGCCTAAGAACTGGGCGACATGTCTGGCAGTAGCACGCATTCGCGAAAGTGGGTGTTGCGAGTGCGCGAAGCGTGCATCTGCCAACCAGGCCAGGCCCCGGGGCCTGCGTCGTCTGCCGGGGTTGGGCGCGTGCCTTGCAAGAGGGAGCTCCAGGCAGGGCAGTCGCGCCATCCTTCCTGCTGCAAAAGAACCCGTGCCGCCGCCGCTTCGCGAAGGCATGCAGCTTCTCCGCCGCGGCTCTCGAGTGCTGCGAGGCATCTGTGTGCGAAGTCGGGCGGGTGACGATGGACCACGCGTGAAGCGAGTCGGTTTCGCTGAAGCCGCCCATGCAGGGACCGCAAATGCCCGCGTCATGCGCTTGCGGGCTCACGAAGTCGGGGTGCTCGATGGGTGTGCCGAGGACGACGACGCCTCTATCAGCTGGCGGCTTGTCGCCTCGCCAGACCGCGTCGCCCAGCTCCGATATACCAGGTGGCGGGGGACCTGCCTCGGTTGCGTAGACCCGGGAGGTTGGACGCGATGCCGCAGTGGGCTGCGACGGCTCCAGTCGTGCTGTCAAAGCCCGCTCGAGCTCGCTCGGGCACCGTGACAACGTAGACGTCGTCAGGGAAAGCTATGAGGGCATCGTCGCGATGCAGCGCGGCTGCTGCTCGGCAGAGAGCCTCGTGCTGTCCCTATGCGACTTAACAATGCCGGAGCGAGAGCATCGCCTTGCTCGCAGCCCTCGCCCTGCGGCACATCCCTGCAGCGGCCGGCAGCATCCCACCAACAGTACCGCGACGGTTGGCCGTAAAACAACCTAACATAACGGGAGCAACTCCGGTGCGACCGCGCGCAGCTTGGTCAGGAAGGCCGTGCGGGACATACAGTCGTACGCACTGCGGCCATCGAGCGACACAAGCACGGCATCGGGGCGGAGGGACACAGCGGCGCGCGCGCAAGCGGCTAGGGCGTCCGTGCCTGCGCGGGCCTGAAGCGCGAACTGGTACGGGCGCGTGGCTCGGTCGAAAGTATGAGCCCACTCTTTGGCGAGCGTCCTCGCCACTAAACGGCGAATGACGTCGCTTGTGGCGATGCCCCGCACGCTTCCATCGGGTTTGCGCAGAGCCGTCAGCCGCCATGGCCAGTCCAGCGGCGATATCTGCAGGGACATTGGCTTGCGCGAGGCACGTCGCCGCCTCGGTGAGCAGATCCAGTGCCTCGAGGTCTTGCAGCAGCAGCTTGAGGTGCGCAGCCCTCATTCCTGAAAGGCCAGCTGCCCCGCCCCGGCGAGCCTCGCGGAGTGCGGCGGCCACTGCACGTGAAGAGAGGCGGACGGGCTGCTCAGGTTGGTATTGGAGCAAGTGTTGCGGCGGAGCTTCGCGTGCCTCGGGCGGGCGCTTGGCTGGATCACTCAATGCCGTCCAAGTGGCCTCAGTGCCCGGAGCTAACTCCGCCGCCGTGAGGACGTGCCTGGCGCGGGAGAGTTCGCCTTGGCGGACTTTAGCACAAGCGCGTTCGCGTTTCCGCTCCACCAAAACCTCGACGTCGAGCTCGGGCGGTGTTGCGGGACGTCGGCGAGGATGCGCGGCTGCCAGCAGCTGAGGCCACTCCCCGCGCTGGAATGCCTGTGCCCTTGCGTAGAGTGTCGCCCGGCCTTGCGCACCCTGGTGTTCGGGGCGAGCCAACAGCATTCGCGGGGTGAGCACAAAGAGCTTCCATGCTCGACTCGCAGCCACGCCTTGAGCCTGACCTTCCACGAGCGCCTTGTGCAAGCGGGTGAGCGCCTTCACGAGGGTGCCACGCACGGCTGCACGTAAGAACGGTGGCACATCTTGCAGCGTCGGCGCCGGATGGCGAAGCTCGGCCGTCAGATCGACCGCGTCGAGCACCTCCCAAGCTGCCTCCGCCTCCGCCGTGCAGGGAGGCCGCGGGCATGTGGGAACCGCGCTCGCCTCGGAGTCCGCAGCTGTGGCGTTGTCCGCTTGCGAGCGTCGGGCCTGCCGGCGGCGGCGGCGTGGTCTTCTGTGCCCATGGCGCTGGTCCTCTGCACGGTCGGGCCTCGGCGCGAAGCTGTCGCGCGCATCGTCCGCGAGCGTTTGCGCTTCCGCCGCGAGGGCTCCGCCTCCGTAAGCCTCGAGCAAAGCTGACTGGGCTGGAGCGCTGAAATAACCATCGGACGTCATGCAGACCAGCACTGCCGCCGGCAGTGGCAACGGGGCCTCTGCCGGAAGCGCGGCGAGTTGCTGCGTGGCGCGGGCGGCGTCCGGTGCCAGCGCAGCTGTGTCGCATGTGGTTCGCAATCCGCGGCTGCGCGCATGAGGCGGATGATTGTCGGGGGTGGCACGCCAGCAGCACGACGTAGAGCTGACGCGAGCTCCGTGAAGCGAGTTCCGAGTCGCGGTCGCGCCTGCCAGGCCATGCCAAGCCTCAAGCGCCACGTGAGTGAGATGGCCGGCGCCAGCATGTAGCAACGGCACGAAGAGCCACGAGCACCGTAGGCCGGGCTTGACGCTCGGCGGGCGGGCATCTTGCCAAGGCAGCGCCGCCTCGTCGTGTGCAGACTGCGGCGGCGTGAACCCTGGCGTCGCCTCTCCTGACAAGGGCGGCGCGGCGCCTCGCCTGCGCGCCCGGGTACGCCCGCGTCCGGAGGTGCGCCGCGTCGTGGGGAGGCAGCCGGTGAAGCGAAAGGTGTATCGGCGTCCAGTGTCTCGGAAACGCTCGCGGGTGGTGACGGTGGGGCCGCGGGCAGGAGCTTCATTTGAGCCAGCGCATGCAACGCAAGGGCGCTCTGTTGGCGGACGGATGCATGCGCTGGCTCCCGTGTTCTGCCGAGGGTTGGCTCGTTCGGCGGGCCGGGGTGTGACGCTTCGCCCACGCGTCGACCGCGGTGCGGGTGATGTCGGTGGGCCGTTCGCGAACTGGTGGTTGGTGTGTGCATGGCGGTGGGGCGGGCGACGACAGTCGGAAGCGTTTGCTTGCGCCTGCGCTCTTGCGTCTCGCAGCCGGAAAGTAAATAAGCGGGACTTCGAGCCTGCGCAGTGGCCTGCCCATGACGAATCCTGTGCGCTCGGCATGCCTTTTTCATTGAGCTGCATGCCAAGGTCATGCCTTCCGCGCCGTGTGCACATAGCGGGCTTTGAAAGAGGATCAAAAACTCGAGACATGGCCTTGGCCGCCGCTCAGTGCATGTTGAGCACGGCCGCAGCGGCCGCCTCGGCGGCTCGCTCGGCAGCGGCCTCGATGAGCCCGGCATGGCCTCCATCTCTGCCCAGCGCCTTGCCACCGCCTTTGCCAGCTCCGCCACCATGTCCGTGTCCGCCTTTGGGTCGGTTCCCTTTGCCTTTGCCGTCCATGGCATCCTTGCCCCCGCGGCGTCTGCGGCGTGGTGTTGGGCCGCCTTTGCCGCCTTTGCCCTCTCCTGCGTAGCCATGCTCGCGGCCTCGCGGCCGGCTCATGGAGCGGCTGTCGCGGGAGCGGCTGCGACTGCGGTCTCGGCTGCGGCTGCCAAGGCGTGCCGGGCCTGGTGATGGCGGTTGCTCCTCTTCGTCCGAGGCCATGGCGCGGAGAGCCGAAACCACGCCCAGCAGCAAGGACTCCACTGGCCACTCCATGACACGGGGGGCTGTGCACCAAGCCTTGGATGGCCACCACTGCCTGGCACGGGCGGCAGCGTGCCTCGTCCAGCCTGACGAGGCGAAGGCGGCACGTGCGGCGCTGGGGCTGCGGGGGGTGGGACTGGCTAGGCATAAATGGCTGCGAGTTGGAATGGCTGCGGGCACGCACATGCATAAAATGACTCTGCACGCAGCCCTGCTGAGGCGGGTCTTGAAACGAGGGGCGGGAAGAAGTGCTCTGCACTGTTGGCTCCCCGCTCTTACCCGTAGAACCCGCCTGTGAAGATGCGTGAAAGATTTGCTTTCCGAGGCGTTGGCCCTGCCACCCTCGCCGTCCCTGTGGCGGCGGCAAGGTTGCCTCCTGCGAAGGCGTGTGCGCAGGCATCCCCGCTACAATGCCCTGCGTCGCAACGTCCACCGCGACTCCCTTCCGGCGCCTTTGGAGCGGGCCCCGCGCTGCTCAGAGTCTCGAGCCCCGGCGTTTGCGAGTGGGCGGCGCGTCGCGCAAGGGTGTCGGCGGGGGCAATCCGGGCGTGTGCAGCGAAGTCGCGGCGTGCAGGACACGGCACAACAGCTCTTCGGGTGTCTGCCCGGCCGCATTCGCTAGTGCGGCGAGCTCGTGCTCCCCCCCAATCGCGACGCAGCGCAGGATCTCTTCCGCAGCAGCCGTCCAGGCGGGCGGGGGCGCACGGCGCGCCCAGCCTGCCGCCATAAGCACAAACCGCCCAGCGCAGCTCCAACGCACAACCACCCCCAGCAGTGAGAGCAAGGCCCCCACCCTGGCGGATAGTACTGTGGAGCGCTGCCGGCGCAAGTCAGGGTCGCGTGGAGAGCGGCTTGGCGGCAGGAGCGTGGAAGTTGAAGAAAGCCACTTTTCGATGGATTGTGGACTACAAGTAACTGATTGCCCTCGTGCATGGCTGAGTACACAAAGCAGGGAGATAGATACAACGGTATGGTCAATTAAGCAACTCCATTTCGAGTGCCAGGCTGGTATTCAGCGTTTGCTGCTACAAGTAGCTGATAATTTTGCTGAACCCCAGTCCAACTTCATGGAACTGGTTACTTCACAGCCAGCCTCGTGACACTCCTCCCTGCTGGACAGGTTTACTGCAAATTCGATGAGCGCGCAATCACCATAATTTAGGCCCATCCGGAAAAGCATAAGGTACGGGCCTCTGGAAGCCTAAAGGACTTACGTTGCCACCGTAAGGACATCTTTTGGCAAAAAGGGTGCATTCCTGACTATGATGACTTAAGCGACTTAACCCTAGTTCCTTAACAATACCCCAATCGAGGATCCGAAATCTCAAGCCTTGCCTCTAAGCTCTGCAAGGACTGCGCAAGGCCCCAGAATCCAGCGGCACGGGTCTCGGCTGCCAGGGTGACGAGGTTGACGCTGGCCTCTGGGGATGCCGGGCCTTTGGGTTTTGTACTTGTACAGTGGGGTTCACGCTCTCACAAGTCGGACACAGCCAGGCGAGGTTCTTAGGTGCGGAGTCGTACAGTGGGGTTTAGGGTTTTGCGTTTAGGGCTTCCAAGCTGAAACGGTTTAGGGTAAGTATACGGCTGCTGTTAAACGCGTAGCGTCGCAAGGCTATCTGAGGAGGTTGTCCAGAAAAGACCTTGCGGATGCTGGGGGAGCAAGATCTGCAGGTTTTAAACAGAAAATGTAGCCATCAAGCTTTAGGGCAGTTAGTGCGAGAGCTCGTGCGACTGTCCGGTTGCAGCCAGCCCCAGCCGGACTCTTGACGTACATGCCTCTGTCTGCACTTGTAGTTTAAACAACTCGTTCTGCTGGACAGTGGTAGCAAAAGCCAGTAGCAGTAGCCGTGGCCGTGGCGGTGGCAGTCGCAGCATCAGCAGCAGCAGGAGTAATAGAAGTAGTAGTAGTAGTAGTAGCAGCAGTAGTAGCAGTAGTAGTAGTAGTAGTAGTAGTAGTAGTAGCAGTAGCAGTAGTAGTAGTAGTAGTAGTAGTAGTAGTAGTAGTAGTAGTAGTAGTAGTAGTAGTAGTAGTAGCAGTAGCAGAGCAGTAGCAGTAGCAGCAGAAGCAGCAGCAGTAGTAGTAATTTGTAGCACCATGGTAGTCATAGTGATCATAGCAATATATTATACAAGTAGTAGTAGCAGTAGTCGTCGTCGTCGTCGTGGTAGTAGTCGTAGAAGCAGTATGACAACAGTTGTAGCTACAATATACTATAAGAGCCTTCATAATTAGAAAAGGGTTAGGGGGCAATTTATACACTATTCATAATGAGGAACCACCAAAATAGTATTGGTAACTACTGAGGCCCTCACATTTTGTAGAGCCCTTGTAGAATCCGTAATAGAGACCCTTACCGGGCCCTTTTTAAAGGAACCCCTGATAATAATCATTAAGGCTTGGGTACGGCCCCCAGACAGTAACAGCCTATAATAGGGCTACTATAGAGGGCCTAATACAACCATATTGCGAATATTTTCCAACTGCTACTGAGTGGGAGCACTACCCAAATGGAGGCCCCTATGTTTTGTAGAGCCCTTATAGACTCCCTTATAGAAACCCTTACCGAGCCCTTTTTAAAGGAACCCCGGATAACAAGTATTGAGGCCCCTTTTTTAAATTGGCAATCCCGCCAGCTCAGAGTCGGCACTTCGCCCGCCGAGCAAGGTGCCCAACTGCATGGCAGACGTCTCGTCCTTGCGGGGGCAAGGGTTCAGGATTTTTTGAACTCCTTTTTACGGCTGCCCAATCGTCTGAGCTTCCATAAGGCCAAGGGTTTGGAGTGTTTTTCCCTCCTACCTAGCAACCTCCAGGGTTCAGGGTTTAGGGTTTTTGCTCTCGCAACGCGGACAAGTCTTACCAGAAAATCCTCTGCATCCCAGCAGGCAGCATACGGTAACCCAGCCCCGGAACCCCCTACTTAGAGGATCGTGGGACTCAGTAAGTCAGGTTATAAGTACCTTAATTGGCATTATAAGTAGTTACAAGTACAGTTGCCCTTATTCTGGCCCCAGTTACTAAGTCCCATGATCCTTTAAGTATGTTCGATATGGGTGGTTGTCAAAATTATGGTCCCGCTTTTGGGTCACTATTACAATACGGCACCTATTAATTACTTGGGGTACCCAAAAAGGGACCGTCATTTTGACAACCACCCATATGTCTCCGATATGTTAAAGAACTGTGTCATGGCTGATTCCTGGAGAATTCTCCGAGCTCTGAATTTGTAACCTGTGGATACAAGGTTCTAGGTCCCCATGACAGTTGTTTTAAGAGGCTTTGACAGTATCTTCAATTTTCCATCCAGAGTTGTGACCGTATAACATTTTCAATAGGGCGGAGATTTGTTGTTGGCAAAGCCGAGCTCCAGCCGCCTCTGGCCTACATAACCAAATCCTGTAAAACAGAATGACAGCGTAGTACCACATGAAAAACAGAAGGCGCCGCAATATCATACTAGAATATCGAAAAAAGTACTATGAAAGCCCAGCGGTGTTGTATTATATAGACAAGATAGTTTTAGGTAGTCTAAGACATGTACAATACTGTAAGATGGTATACCGCGGTAAGACTTCGGGCAAGAGAGAACAACACTCTATAATAGAGCATGACCCAATGTAGAAAAGTAAACTGTGCTATAGCTCAGTATAAATACAACAAACTAGACATTTACAAACTAAGGTGTATAACACAACGTCATTCAGTATTGACGTAACACAATGATAACATAATGACAGCATAACATGCTAATAAATATTGCTTTGACATGAATATCAAGGTCAACATTCACGCAATGCCAATATTACAGAAGTAGCAAGCCCTTAGTATCCATAACAATGAAAGCCAATATCGATGTTAGCATCGAATGCGAAAATCAGTATGCCAATGAGTACAGATAGCATTTTATGCAATACAACATCATATGCAATGATGCCATCTACGAGTAAGTATAGTGTAACATGTGGTAATTCAATGTGTGGTTTGATGTAACGCACGGTTCTACCAAACATCACAATATAAAACCACATACTGACACATGATTCAAAATATTCTTGTATACTATAACAAAACCTGAAATGCACATACAAGAAGGCCGCATAATACAATGCAAGATAATGTAATATAATGCAATGTACTGAAATATGTTCTAGCACAGTGTGGCATGATGTATCAGGATGCGACATGGTATAATACAATGTCCCATGGCATAATACGAAATGGCATCAAAAATCAAACATCATGTAAAAGCATGTAGAAAATGTAATACAATGAAATGTGTTTTCTAAGTACGAAAAGTTTTTTTGATACGATACGGCATCATAAAACATATCACGATAGCACATCAACAAAACTACGTACTAAAAGGTACTATAACGGAGAACAACATAACAAATACAGTAAATTGCAAGCTAGTATAGCACATCAAGAAAGGTGAAAAACAACAAACATAAGACTATGATACAACATATTACACTATGACACAGTGCATTACAAAGCAATGCAACACGTAAATAGCATGCCATACACCACAACAACATGTAATATTTTTGTGCAACCATCTCGCAAGTTAGAAAAGTGTATGGTAGAAGAAAAGAAATACGATACAAGACAGTACAATACAAAATAAATCAACTAGCACAATGAAACACAAGATGTTAAAGTACAGCATAACAATACAGTATAACAGCATCTGGTATCATAGAAGCTGATACCTCATAACAGTTACAATCAAAATGGCAAACCATAGTCTGATATGAATATGTTGCGCATGCTAGAGTTCGGCTTTCTACCTGTATATTGCTTTGAAGCCCAGTGCGCAAGGAGCCGTGACACTTAGTACTTCGACGTATAAGCTTAGACGTCCAAGAAAAGCCATTATAACGCAATGTACTAAGTCCTCTGGTCCGTGAGGGGTATCGGGGAGTTGAGAACCTTTTGGTTAAGTTGAGAACTGTCTTCAACTTAACGCTGATGGGACAGGATATCTTAATTGCCTACACGCCGCCCTCCCCCCCAGCAACTCTTGGCAAAACACTTCATTTCGGCTTCGTGGAACTGCCAATGCCAACACTTTCACGGAACTTTCTCGCTAGACCCTGTGTGAGAACCTAACTTCGGCACCTGGCTGGGCTAGAGGAAGCAGCACTACAAGCAGTAGTGGTGGTAGAGCTGGTAGGGGTAGCAACAGCTACGGCAGTAGCAGCTGCAGTAGGAGGTAGGCGGTCGTAGGTAGTCGGAGGTGGGTCGTAGGTTGTGACTCGTAGGTGTATTAGGTAGTGGATGGTAGTGGTAGGAAGTGTTGGCGGCAATAACAGTACGAGTAGAGTAGCAGCAGCAGGTTCAGTAGTCGTCCTCGTGGTAGTAGTGGTGGTGGTGGTGGTGGTGGTGGTGGTGGTGGTGGTGGTGGTAGCAGTAGTAGTAATAGTAATCGTAAAGCTGTACTTTCGGGGCACAGTCGCGGAACTTTCGCGAAGGCATAGTTGGCTATGGAGTTGGCCTTTCTGAAAAATTCTGTGTCAAGGACTTTCAGATCAACTACCACTTTCAAAACTCCGGATTCGAGATGGGCACGATGTTTAAACGAATTCAGGGCGGAATCAACACGATCCACGCATAAAGAGAACGGTAAAGGAGTACGAGACGCTCGTCAGTGTGACCCAGCGGAGAAAGCCCTTGTGAACTCTGGCATGGACGGGGATTCGTGAGACTTGTTGAAAACCTGTGTGTCTAGCCAAAGGCCTGTACAAGCACTGTACCGGCAATACTATTTCTGACGCCCAGGTCCAGTAATATTTATGTACAATACGAAAGTCTTGCACATGTTTTACTTAGTGGTGCCTTCGCCACGTTGTTTCTGCTTTAGCAGGGAAGGCCCCAACACATACGATTTAAATATCCAGGCATATAACGTGCACATCCCCAGATCCCAAGGCTGATTGCTTTCGGTTGATGATATAAATCCTGCATTACCTTAAGGATTCTAAGGTATGGGAGTTATGGTGTATTCCTTATTATGGGTAATGCAGGATTTATATCATCAACCGTTTGCAATGGTGTTGGCGGTGTTGCCGAAGAGGCCGTTTCAGAATTCTGAAGCACGAATTATTCTGAGCTCTGAGTTTCTTTGCATTACCGGACCTCCTGAACCCCTATTGATCTAATGACGCGTATGCAGCAGCTCCCCGTCGTATTCAAACTACACAAAGGAGGTCTACGACTCCTTATGAGTCAGAAGGGGGGGGCTGTGTTCTCCAGCTCCTGTTGTAGAATCTCGCGATATCTTTGGGCAGCACAACGACAGAGTTCAAAAACAGCACACTAAAGTAGGAGCCTAAACAATTACCAATACCATTTTGGGGGTTCCTGATCACAGTTAAAGGATAAATATACCCCCAAAGCCCTATTCTATTTACTTCGGTCCCTGTATTCTATACCCCCCTAGAACCATAATGAAAATAATATGTTCAATATTATCTTGGGTTTTATATGAACAAAAATCAAACATAATTCCTAAGGAGACCATAGTATCAAATCTCGGGACCATGCCAGAGGTCCAGTTGCCCCAAGACTTTTGCATGTTTCATTTGGGAGCTTCCGAAAATTGGGGTACCTCTAAAGGGATTCCTTAAGGGTTCCTTAAAGAGATCTAAAAGGGTTCTATAAAGGGTTTAGGGTTAAGGGTGTTCCAAGATTAGGGGTACCTTATTTGGGGGGTCCTTGTAATGAGGATCCTAGTATTTCGGGTGCTATATTGGGGTCCCCTATTCTCGGAAACTCCCATTTGTTTCGGAGCATGCCCCCCACCCTCACGACAGCGCGTAATGCTAACAAAATGTACGGCTTGGAGCCAGAAAAACATGAGGTTTGGCGATTTTGCTGGGCATCCTGTGTTTAGTGATGGTTTTGACCTCCGTGGAAGCGATGAAAACTTAGATGTGACATGCCTTTACGGCCTTTGCGAGTGCGTATAACTCTTGGTACCTACAGCCTTATTCAGAGAACTCCTTATTTGAAGGTTTACGGCGTGGGTTTTTGGTGACAATGGGATGTACTACTTTGGATTCGAAGAGGTCAGGGACGGGATTTGGAGAATACAAAATTGGCGTATTATTTCGGATTTGATAAGGCTCTGGGAAGGGATTCAGGAAAATACTCGAAAAGATTATTTTGGATTCGAGAGGGTCAGGGAAGCGATTTGGATACTCCTTGGACATATTATGAGAAAGTCGATGTGGTCACTGCCGAGATTTGGATAAAACTGTGGCATAACGAACGGGTCAGGGAAGGGACGTGGATACAGAGCGAGGGAAACAGAATGCTTGCACTCATCAAGAACGCATATGTGTATAGATATATGTATCTATATATATATATATATATATATATATATATATATGGTTAGGGACGTTGGGATTTTCATGAAGATGCAGGAGTGAAATCGGGAATAGACAAAAAATCAGACAGGTCCGAGAACATGGGGATACATCGGGCATAGACACGTTCGAAAACCCTGAACCCTGAAACCCCTATCCCAAAACCCTAAACCCTTTGCCTTCAGCAAAGGTAAAAATCATCCAGTGACAGAGGAACGAAGAGAGAAACCGCCATGCATTTGAACACGCCATGTAAATGCACATGCGTTCGTAGTCCCCTCCCGCCCCGCTACCGTTCCCTATCTTTTGCCGTAGGTGTTCCTGAAAATCGCAGGGATAGTGTCTGAAAACTGCCTCCGCATCTACTTGAAAAACCTCTCCTCTATTTTCAACCCATGGTTGCCCGATTTTCCCAGATTCTGCCTGAAAAGGTTGGCACTCTATATGTATACATACATATAGATACATATACATATGCATATACATATTTGTGTGCTACAGAGATCGTTTTGCGAAGTGAAGCATGCCCCCCACACAAACCAATAACACGATGCTCTTGACATGCTTCAGTGACCCTTTCGAGCCTTGTGCTTCTAAATCCAGAGCCCGTAGAGGGAACTCCAGAAAGTTGGAATATGGTTTCATGGTAGGATACCCTATAATTTACCATAGAAGGGTTAGGATAATCATATTCCAACTTTCTGGCTTTTACCTTAGAGGAAAGGAGATGAAGGCCAACAGAAGGAACCAAGGGCTGCTCACGAAACCTAAGCCCCTACTGTTGATGATATAAATCCTGCATTACCTTAAGGACCCTAAACTATGGTAATTATGATATATTCCTTATTATGGGTAATGCAGGATTTATATCATCAACCGTAGACTCTACACCTTTTTGCCTAAACCCCTTTTTGCCCCTACCCTAAACCCTAAACCCTTGTACAGCTGTGTTGGGATTTTGGGGTTGGTCCGGCCTGGAGACGCCGATCTCTAGTACTATACCCCCCTTAGAACCATTATAAAAATAGTATTCGTAATATTCTTGGGTTGTATACTATGAACAAAAATAAAAATCCCTAAGGAGACTGTAGTTTAGTGTTTAAGAAAGAGGTCGGTGCGAGGTCCGATCAGAAAATTCAGATTTGGCCCGTATCATGCGACTTAGCTTGCCAACCACTATGCCTTCAGTCTGTACTGCGAGAGCCGATAGCTTACGAATACGAGCCAGTCATGATACCCTAGAGTACCTGTGGCATAATCATTTCGTGAAGGCAAACTCCACTGCATGCTGCGTCCCACGACCTTAGTATGAAGTTCGCCACTATGACTCCTGATTATGACCGAACGATTGTGAGCGAATGAGGCAAGTTCCCGAAGCCACGTACCTCGATGCAGACTATGAGTGAAGCTTGACCTCTTCGCCTGCACACGAAGATCTTAACTCTCGAAAGTTACAACGCAGACTTCGCCACCATTCAACACTGTCACCTACGACTCCGTAAACCATGAGGCCTTAGCCTCACTGAACCGCGAAGCTTTGCCCTAAACCGTGAAATGGGTTTGAGACATGTCCAGGTCGGCTCCTCTGCACGGATCGTAAAACTCAGGCAAGCGCACACCTGTCCATTGATCGTGCTTGTAGGATTTTTTCTTTTAGGATTAAGACTTTTTAAAGTTCTGAGGTTTAGGCTATACGACGTTTTTGATGTTTTGGAGGTAGTCGGCTTATGATTTCCGTTTATGGGCGGATGATTCGCTTTAGATTAGAGGGCCCGCGCCGGGCCTTCAATCCACCAAATACCTCGAAATTTAGACCACCGAAACCATGTATGCTCCGTATGAAGGAAAAGTGCAGCATACTGAGTCCTGAAACACGACACAATCAGGAGCCTGCCACATTGTATTGACAAACACACACTCACACGCGCGCGTGGAGTCCCAAGTAACAATCAGGCCTGCAGGAGGTGCTTCATCGGCGGGCTCTTACATGTCTTGGCACACCCAGGCAGGATTAAGTACTGCAAAGCCACCAACGTGTCTGGGCCAGATGCCTGCACAAGTCTACATCCGCTTCAACATCGCTCCAGCCGTTGCCGCGGAGTTCTCTGACTGCAGCTTGCCACGCTTTCTGCCACTGCAACAAAACTGCAGAGCGCGCACGCCGTCGCGCTTTTGGCGGCGACATGCGGCGACGATATACGTAGAATCAGGGATGCTGCCAGAGGCTGCTCGCATGGGCCGTGGATTTGAAAGCTTGCCGAAACGCGGTGACCGCAGGCTGTTCCAAGTGCGTCTTCAGCGGCACCACGGCCCCTGAGCCTTGCTCCCTAGAGCCGGTGCTTCGTGGTCGGATCGCCGAAACTTCGGCTGCGGCACACCGGCCGCCCCTCAAACAATGTCTTGGAACCGGACTTCGTGTACATCTGCACCAAGCCTCACTGCGCATCTGCTAATTTGCAGATGCGCATGCCACCACGGGAACTTGTTAAACAAATCTATAGTCGGAGCTCGAGACCAGACTTGGTTGGATCTCAGATTGATTTGCTTCTGCCGCTTTCAGTATGGCAACTTTCAACGAAATGGGTTTCCTGGAGAAGAGCTATCCAACCTTGTCTGGTGCCCTCTATCACTCGTACGGTGACCTGCTCCGTCTGACGGAATGCTGGGATGATGAAATGATGGAAATCGGAAATCTTGAAATCCCTTTCGACACAAGATTTCCGCAGCGGTGCATCCGAGCTCGCCAGCCCCGAGCCTCCTGACTCAGCTGCGCCCCCAGAATGGCGCAATTCCAGTTCTGAGTGAGCCGTAGCACTTGCCCACTTAGCTACTTAGTTTTGGAAAGGTGCAAGGGGCTGGCATGCCGACGAGTTGCAGCATGGTGCAACGCCTTTCAGGAGCCCCAAAGGCAACAAAACTGGCGAGGCTCGTGGCGGCAGCTTTCATTTTCCTTCGCTGGCTGCCCCAACTTGTAGTACTGAGTTACTAAGCAATGCCGCGCAAGCCGCAAGAGCCTCGCATGCCCACGGAGCCGGGGGTATATGCCGGATGCAAGCAGTGGCACCGTGAGCTCTCAGGGTCCCGAAGCTTCCAGGAGCCTCCTCCAGAGCCGGCGCTTATCAGACTGGTAGACGTTCAGACGTTCAAGCCTCGGCCATAGAGCTGAGGCAGGAAGGGATTAGGGTTTAGGGGTTTAGGGGTTTGGGGATTAGGGGTTTAGGGGTTTAGGGTTTAGGGTTTAGGGTTTTGGGGAAGCCCTCCTCTTCTCCTCTACTTCGTCGTCTCACTCAGATTGCACTGCATGAAAACGACTCTTAGCCAGAAGCCTCGGTGCTGGCCGAGAGGCTCGCCCAATCCTGCGGCACGTAGCCCCAGCAGTGCAGCGTGTCGTCATCCAGGCGCGCGCAGTTATGTCTGCTACCACCAGCCACCTCCACAGCAGTCCGGCCCACCCCTAGGTCGATAAATGGAAGGTGGTCGCCCATCTCGTTGGGGCCGTCGCCGATGCTGGCCGCTGAGTTACTCCTTAGAAGACTTGAAGATAAACTGGGATGTGAGACATGAGGCGGGCCGGATCAACTTGAAGATGGTCCAAGCAACGCATCAGTCAAATAGCCCCAGCATTTAACACCTCCGCCCTCGAGAATGGCACAGGCATGGTAGCGCCCACCCGCGATGTAGATGGCATTCCTGCAGAATGGCCAGTGCCGAGCAGACTGCGCAGCATGATAGGAATCTCACATGCACAAAAGCCAGCCGCATCCCGCTGTTCTACCGGAAAGCTTGCGTGTGAAAGGAAGGTTTAGTGCGAGCTGCAAGGGCGCGCCCTCGCTGGTGCCCAAATCGACCGCTGGCAAGTTGTCCCCCATGTCCGCGGCTAACCTGCCAACGTCTGTCGTGGAGCCGCTGCCGAGTTGCCCATAGTCGTTGCGTCCCCAGCATTTAACCTCTCAAAACAGAAAAGTTCTTGAGGTTTAGGCCAGCCACGAACTCTTGAGAAAGGCCAAGTGACTCTGCCAGTGCTGAGCAAAGCGCAGGCGTGGTCATTGCCCGCTGCAACTTGCACTGCATGGAGGCCAGTACCCAGGTTGACAGGCTCGACGAGAGGGTGATTTGCAGTAGAAGCGATTGCAGAGCCGCGACCCAGCTGGCCATAGGAGTTCGACCCCCAGCATGTGAGTTGCGCCCCGTTGCTGTTGTTCTGGAGGATAGCGCATGTGTGCTCTTGTCCGGCCGAAACATCAAGAACGGGCTCGCCGCCAAAGTCCAAGGTCGGCAAGAAATCGCCCATCTCGCCGGGGGCATCCCCGGCTTTGTTGTTGTTGTTGCCGTAGCCGCCGGCGTCGGGCATGAAGCCCAGTCTGCCGTGTTGGCCGTAGCCCCAGCATTTCATGGAGCGGTCAGCCAAGACTCCGCAGGTGTGGAACACGCCCACCGCCACGCCAACAACTTTGCGGTCAGCGCCCACATCCACTGACGGTAGCTGATCTCCCATACCACTCCCATCGTGACTCCTCCCTCTGTCGCTCGCATCACCTAGGCCCAGCTGTCCGTGAGCGTTCCAACCCCAGCATTTCAAGTCCTCAGTGTCCAGCAGAGCACACACGTGTGCGCTATTGAGCGCTGAATACACGGCCCTGGCCGTGCGGTTGCGTCCAAGGTCGACTTGGTTGCCGTAGGGGGGGGATGACGAACGACCACCTGTCGTCCCATAATTATTATCACCAACGCACCAAAGCTTGCTGGGAATAAGGCTTGCGTTCTCGACGATGGCACAGCTGCCGAAATCCCAGGCTGCAATGGTGGCCTGAGCAATGAAGACCCCACAGCTATCACGAAGCCTCCTACTTCGAGGCGCCGATGTGGGGTGGTTGTCAAAATTATGGTCCTTTTTGGGTCCCTATTTTAATACGGCACCTATTATTTAGGGTGCCCAAAAAAGGACCCTAATTTTGACAACCACCCATGTGCAGCACTGAGTTCCTGTCCGGGGTTGTGGTTGTGGTGGAAGTTCGCGCCGCACAGCTGATGCCTTACACTAGCCAAGTGATGCATGTCGCTGGCTGAGATCTTCTCTGAGGCCCCGGGCAGGTGTCGGGGGCGATCTGCGGGTTGCCGGTGTACCAGCTCTTATCCAAATACTCGCTCTGCACCCAGGCGGTCTCACAGGGGAAGTCGGCCACTGGCGAGCTGTCGCAAACTTGCTTTGCCGCGGGGTCAGGGATGTGGACTGCCAGGCCGGAAGTGTCGACGACCAGGTCCTGGCACGCCTGCACAGCAGCTTGGGTGAGGTTGCTCTGGAGCAGCTGAATGTAGCAGATGACCTTCTTGGCGGCAGTGTAGGAAGCCTCACGGCGTGAGTCCGAAGCAGCAATGGTGGCTAGCAACTGCAGCCACGTCTGGTTGACATTTTGATAGCACGTGTCGATGGCATCGCAGCTGTCCGTCAGCTGCTGTCGGTACTCACAGAAGTGGCTCTCCAAGGTGGATTGCTCCACCCGGCACTCCTCGCTTCGGTTGTTCACCGCATGGAGGCTGCTGAAGTAGGTATCTTTCAGGGTGACCATGCTAGGTTCGAAGCTGGCAAAGAAGCTACTGATGGTGGCTGCGCAATCGATCATGACCTGCAGATGCTCGGCCGTCTGCGGGTTGTAGCCGTCCAGGTAGGCCTGCATGCAGTCCTTCACGTCTTGGGGCAGCGCTTCGTTGCCCTTGTTAAGGTAGGTTAGCCAGTCGGTTCCGTTCTGGCCCGACAAGGTCTGCTCCAAAGTGCGGCAGCCGTCGTGGGAGCTGCTGGCGCCCCTCACAAGGGTGCTCAGGTTCTGGCTTTGAAGCTGTCGAGCCGACAGGTCGCTGTTGCATTGAGCGAAGCCCTCCGCAAGGTCAAGGAGCAGCTGCTCGTCCGCAAGGTGAGAGGCGTTGATCTGCGCGAGCAAGCTCTGCATCTCCGTGAGAACAGAGTGAAGGAGAGTCATCGTGGTGTTGCTCAAGCCGAAGTCCTCGCGAGTCAGGTTGTAGTCGCTGAGATTTTGCGTATTTTCCATCTCCGCGAGCTTCTGCAGGGCCAGGGCCTCCATGTCCTTGTGGACCTTGTGGACCTCATCCAGCCTTCCTTCCTCCAGGTCTGCTCCGCGCTCTGCCGCGTGCTCCGCCAAGCTGGGGAAGGGCCAAAGCGAGTGCCCGCCGGACTTCCCTGTGACCTGCAGCAGCGCGGCCTGCTCGCAGGTCTCCTCGGTCTCCTCGCAGCCAAGGCTGGCGGCCAACGTCACGGCGGCTGCGAAGGCTGCCAGGACCTCGCCACATGAGAAACGAGAGTTGTCACAACTCGAAAAATGCTGAGTGGGCAAGCAAACCTCCCACGATCCGACCCCCTGCCGAGGCACGGCCAAGCGCACCGCGGTGCCAACGAGCATCGCGGCAAATCTGGAGCTTGCAAGAAGGATCAAGGAGGCAAAACGAGGCAAACAGCTGCTCAAACATCTCAAGCAGAATCGAAGGCCTATCCCGATGGCTCCGTCGAGCAGGGCAGTGAGACCAAGCGGACTTCTTTTCTGGCTCTCGGATGCGCGCGGTATCACCTGCTCCTCGAAGTTGAGAATCCCTTAGTTCGAGGTCAAGGGATTTCAGAGCAACTACCCAACTACCGCGCTGAGCTTGGTATGCATCTAAACCAGAAACTGCAGATGCTTCAGGGGTTCTACCCTGCTTGCAACTGTCGCCAACAGTAAGTATTTTTAACTTGCTGCGAGACCGTCCTTTTGATATCTTGGCTTAGCATTTCCACACTCGTGCTTCGCAGCTCGTGCTCTCACAACGTTGGATAGACCTTGCTCGGGGCAAAGGGGCGGCCATTCTATCCGTAGCTAAACGGACACTCTGAGCAAGTTGGCCATGATGGCACCTCTTGCCTGGTACCGCCGGAGCCTTTGCGCATCGACGCTTGCGCGTGCAGCGCATGGCATGCACCGCACAAGAAGCACGGGCTGCCCTGAAGCGAACAAGGTCAAGCGGGAAGCGAAAACCGTGCACCGTCCACACCCGATATCGTGCTCCCGCCCCTTGTCCCCGCACTCCACCGCGCACCGTCCGTGCAACCGATGTCGCGCTCCCGCCCCTTGTCCCCGCCCTCCACCGCGCACCGTCCGCACACTCGAAATCGCGCTCCCGCCCCTTGCCCTCGCCCTCCACTGCGCACCGTCCGCGCACCCGATATCGTGCTCCCGCCCCTTGTCCCTGCCCTCCACTGCGCACCGTCCGCACACCGTCCGCACACAGTCCGCGCACCCGACGCCCCTTGTCCCCGCCCTGCACCGTGCACTGTCCGCGCACCCGATATCACGCTCCCGCCCCTGAGTCCGCGCACCCGATATCAAGGCCCGTGCACCGATTATAGTCCTCTAAAGCTCTTCCGTCAAGACAGGGTCCGATATCGCGCACCTCGCGTTGGCGCACAAAAAACGAGAACCCAACCCCAGAAAGGTTTTGGGAATAAGAAACGACCGACAAGGCAAAGGAGAATTCGGATGGCTCCGGCCCACGCCATGTTAAACAAATGAGAAACAAGCGAAAAGGCAGAAGGAGAATTCGGATGCCTCCGGCCCGCGCCATGTTAAACAAATAAGAAACGCCAAAAGGCAGAAGGAGAATTCGGATGGCTCCGGCCCGCGCCATGTTAAACAAATAAGAAAAGAGCCAAAAGGCAGAAGGAGAATTCGGATGGCTCCGGCCCGCGCCATGTTAAACAAATATAAAACGAGCGAAAAGGCAGAAGGAGACTTCGGATGGCTCCGGCCCGCGCCACGTTAAACAAACAAGAAACGAGCGAAAAGGCAGAAGGAGAATTCGGATGGCTCCGGCCCGCGCCATGTTAAACAAATAAGAAACGAGCGAAAAGGCAGAAGGAGAATTCGGATGGCTCCGGCCCGCGCCATGTTAAACAAACAAGAAACGAGCGAAAAGCCAGAAGGAGAATTCGGATGGCTCCGGCCCGCGCCATGTTAAACAACTAAGAAACGAGCGAAAAGGCAAAAGGAGAATTCGGAGGGCTCCGGCCCGCGCCATGTTAAACAAACAAGAAACGAGCGAAAACGCAGAAGGAGACTTCGGATGGCTCCGGCCCGCGCCATGTTACACAAGTAAGAAACGAGCGAAAAGGCAGAAGGAGAATTCGGATGGCTCCGGCCCGCGCCATGTTAAACAAATAAGAAACGAGCGAAAAGGCAGAAGGAGAATTCGGATGGCCCCGGCCCGCGCCATGTTAAATGAAAAAAGAAACGAGCGAAAAGGCAAAGGAGAGTTCGGATGGCTCCGACCCGCGCCATGTTAAACAAACAAGAAACGAGCGAAAAAGCAGAAGGAGAGTTCGGATGCCTCTGGCCGGGGCCATGTTAAACAACTAAGAAATGAGCGAAAAGGCAGAAGGAGAATTCGGATGGCTCCGGCCCGCGCCACGTTAAACAAATAAGAAACAAGCGAAAAGGCAGAAGGAGAATTCGGATGCCTCCGGCCCGCGCCATGTTAAACAAACAAGAAACGAGCGAAAAGGCAGAAGGAGAAATCGGATGCCTCCGGCCCGCGCCATGTTAAACAAACAAGAAACGAGCGAAAAGCCAGAAGGAGAATTCGGATGGCCCCGGCCCGCGCCATGTTAAACAACCAAGAAACGAGCGAAAAGGCAGAAGGCGAATTCGGATGGCTCCGGCCCGCGCCATGTTAAACAAACAAGAAACGAGCGAAAAGGCAGAAGGAGAGTTCGGATGCCTCCGGCCGCGCCATGTTAAACAAATAAGAAACGAAAGAAAAGGCAGAAGGAGAATTCGGATGGCTCCGGCCCGCGCCATGTTAAACAAATAAGAAACGAGCGAAAAGGCAGAAGTAGAATTCGGATGGCTCCGGCCCGCGCCATGTTAAACAACTAAGAAACGAGCGAAAAGGCAGAAGGAGAATTCGGATGGCTCCGGCCCGCGCCATGTTAAACAAATAAGAAACGAGCGAAAAGGCAGAAGGAGAATTCGGAGGGCGCCGTGTGTGGTGGTTGGTGGGGGGGCGTGGGTGGTGGGCGGTGGGTGGTGGGTGGTGGCTGGTGAATGTTGGGTGGTGGGTGGTGGGTGGTGGGTGGCGGGTGGTGGGTGGTGGGTGGTGGTTTGTTGGGTGAGCTGATTTTCGCGGATGGCGGGTCGCGGGTGGCGGGTGGCGGGTGGGGGGTGGCGGGTGGTGGGCGGTGGGTGGTGGGTGGTGCGTGGTGGGTCGTGGGTGGTGGGTGGTGGGTGGTGGGTGGTGGTTGGCGGGTGCTGGGTAGTCGTGGGTGGTGGCTGGTGGGTGCTGTGTGGTTGGTGGTGTGTGGTGCTTAGCGCGGTGGGGTGTGGGTGGTGGGCGTGGCGGCTGGGGGGTGGTGGTGGGTGGTGGGTGGTGGGCGGGGGGCGGTGGGTGGTGGGTGGTAGGTGGTGGGTGCTTGTTTTCGCGGGTGGCGGGTGGCGGGTGGCGGGTAAACCCTAAACCCTGCTCCCCAGAGCCCCCGTCAGGACTCATCGCCGTGTGTGGTGGTTGGTGGGGGGGCGTGGGTGGTGGGCGGTGGGTGGTGGGTGGTGGCTGGTGAATGGTGGGTGGTGGGTGGTGGGTGGCGGGTGGTGGGTGGCGGGTGGTGGGTGGTGGGTGGTTGGGTGAGCTGATTTTCGCGGATGGCGGAAACGAGCGAAAAGGCAGAAGGAGAATTCGGATGACTCCGGCCCGCGCCATGTTAAATAAAAAGAAACGAGCGAAAAGCCAGAACGAGAATTCGGATGGCTCCGACCCGCGCCATGTTAAACAAAGAGAAAAAAAACGAGCGAAAAGGCAGAAGGAGAACTCGGATGACTCCGGCCCGCGCCATGTTAAACAAATAAGAAACGAGCGAAAAAGCAGAAGGATAATTCGGATGCCTCCGGCATGCGCCATGTTAAACAAACAAGAAACGAGCGAAAAGGCAGAAGGAGAATTCGGATGCCTCTGGCCGGGGCCATGTTAAACAACTCAGAAATGAGCGAAAAGGCAGAAGGAGAATTCGGATGGCTCCGGCCCGCGCCACGTTAAACAAATAAGAAACAAGCGAAAAGGCAGAAGGAGAATTCGGATGCCTCTTCCCGCGCCATGTTAAACAAACAAGAAACGAGCGAAAAGCCAGAAGGAGAATTCGGATGGCCCCGGCCCGCGCCATGTTAAACAAACGAGAAACGAGCGAAAAGGCAGAAGGAGAATTCGGATGGCCCCGGCCCGCGCCATGTTAAACAACCAAGAAACGAGCGAAAAGGCAGAAGGAGAATTCGGATGCCTCCGGCCCGCGCCATGTTAAACAAACAAAAAAACGAGCGAAAAGGCAGAAGGAGAGTTCGGATGCCTCCGGCCGCGCCATGTTAAACAAATAAGAAACGAAAGAAAAGGCAGAAGGAGAATTCGGAGGGCTCCGGCCCGCGCCATGTTAAACAAATAAGAAACGAGCGAAAAGGCAGAAGTAGAATTCGGATGGCTCCGGCCCGCGCCATGTTAAACAACTAAGAAACGAGCGAAAAGGCAGAAGGAGAATTCGGATGGCTCCGGCCCGCGCCATGTTAAATAAATAAGAAACGAGCGAAAAGGCAGAAGGAGAATTCGGAGGGCTCCGGCCCGCGCCATGTTACACAAATAAGCAACGATCGAAAAGGCAGAAGGAGAATTCGGATGACTCCGGCCCGCGCCCTGTGTTAAATAAAAAGAAACAAGCGAAAAGGCAGAAGGAGAATTCGGATGGCTCCGACCCGCGCCATGTTAAACAAACAAGAAACGAGCGAAAAGCCAGAAGGAGAACTCGGATGACTCCGGCCCGCGCCATGTTAAACAAATAAGAAACGAGCGAAAAAGCAGAAGGAGAATTCAGATGCTTCCGGCATGCGCCATGTTAAACAAATAAGAAACGAGCGAAAAGGCAGAAGGAGAATTCGGATGACTCCGGCCCGCGCCATGTTAAATAAAAAAGAAACGAGCGAAAAGGCAGAAGGAGAAGTCGGATGGCTCCGGCCCACGCAATGCTAAACAAATGAGAAATGAGCGAAAAGGCAGAAGGAGAATTCGGATGCCTCCGGCCCGCGCCATGTTAAACAAATAAGAAACGAGCGAAAAGGCAGAAGGAGAATTCGGAGGGCTCCGGCCCGCGCCATGTTAAACAAACAAAACACGATCGAAAAGGCAGAAGGAGAACTCGGATGCCTCCGGCCCGCGCCCTGTTAAACAAATAAGAAACGAGCGAAAAGGCAAAAGGAGAATGCGGATGGCTCCGGCCCGCGCCATGTTCAAAGAATAAGAAACGAGCAAAAAGGCAGAAGGAGAATTCGGATGCCTCCGGCCCGCGCCATGTTAAACAAATAAGAAACGAGCGAAAAGGCAGAAGGAGAATTCGGATGGCTCCGGCCCGCGCCATGTTAAACAAATAAGAAACGAGCGAGAAGGCAGAAGGAGAATTGATATCGCGCTCCCGCCCCTTATAAGCCTTGTCCCCGCCCTCCACCGCGCACCGTCCGCGCACCCGATATCCGCGCCTTTCCCTGCACACCGTCTGCGCACCCGATATCTCGCTCCCGCCCATTGTCCCCGCCCTCGCCCGCGCACCGCACCGCGCACCCGATATCGCGCTCCCGCCCCTTCGCGCACCGTCCGCGCACCCGATGTCAAGGCCCGCGTGCCACCGTTTAGTCCTCTAAAGCTCTTCCGTCAAGACACGGTCCGATGTCGCGCGCCTCGCTTTGGAGCACTAAACGAGAACCCAACCCCAGAGGGGTTTTCGGGAAAAAAACCGGTGGACGCATTTGAGCGATGGAGGACCAGCAGAAGTTTCGACAGGCAGACGAAGCTCCCAAGACCTCTCCAGCCCCTCGAGATGAAGTCGTGGGCTGCAGGTTCTCTCTCAGAAGCCCTTGGACACAAGCGGCGTCGAAGCTGAGGCGCCTGCAAGCGCGCACCACGAATCCAGGCTGATGGGCTGCGGCAACGGGACACCTCGAGAGCTTCGATCTCGAACGCTGCTGCATGCCGTCGCATGGTGCTGCGGCGTAGTACGTCCCGCGACAGTACACAGTGTAGTACACAGCTGCTTGCCGGCCACACAGAAACCCCCGAACCAAAAGAACCCTCATAGAATGTTGACAGAAGGTTTTTGGACCCTCAAGAACCCTTAAAGGAACTCTTTGTAGAAACCCCCTGAAACAGAAATGCCCTACTCTCCCTTCGCTGAGAATTTAAACGAGGGGCCACAGCTCGCCAGCGACCGCTGCAGCTCCAAGGCCTCAGGGAGCCACTTTGGGGCGACTTTGGGGGTTTCGGGTTCAGGGTTTAGCGTTTAGGGTCTAGGGCGAAACTGTGGGGTCGAGGGTGCGAGAAGCCAAAAGCTGCGATCTCTGGAAAATTTGAGGGCAGCTCATCGCGAAGCCAACATCGCAGCGCCGCTGCAGTTCCTGGAAGCAAGGTCTGCAAATGCGAGGCGTCCTCAACATGTAAGCCCTCAGTGCACCCGCCTGTCTACGACCTCTCCCAGGGTGGCTCGGCTCCTTGCGGAGGGCCAAGGCAAAATCGGGCGGTTTCCATCTCCAGAGAGGCCGAAGTCCGAAAGCGGAAAGCGCCTCCTTCTTGGGCGTCGCAAGGCGTTCCCCCGCACCTTGTGCAAATTACTGCATGTATGTATCGACGAGTACACCTAGCTAGCTAGACAAGTAAATAGATAGACAGGTGGGTGGATAAGTAGATAGGCAGGCAGCTAGGTAGATAGATAGATGGATAGATAGATCGAAAGAAGGATAGATGGATGGATCGTACATTCACATAGATGCGCACTTCTACGCCAAACAACTCCTACTGGTGGATGTGTGTGATGTTTCCGTTTCCCTATCGAAACAAGTCACGCATGGAACACACGGGAGTTCTGCGATTTACACAAGAGAGACCCCAGCCTGCTCGGCAGCCGTCTGCAGGCGATGAAAGTTTGGACTAGCATAGACTTTATAGCCTTTTGGACGATTGTAACGGAAGCCCGGCATTTCTGTGCGCTGGACCAGGCTCTGCGACAGGCCAGCACACGAAGCTACACAAAGCCAACAAACCCTCAGGTTTAAGGCTGGGCCGCCAGCCGCAATTCGACCCGCGCGGCGGCCTGCAAGACAGGAACGGGAAAACGGGAAGCTTCGAGCATTTTTGAGTCGGTCAAGGGCTCTTCAGGCTCATCTGGGGAGCCGGACTCCCCGAGCTGCCCCGAAGAGAGTGCGCGAAGCTGCCTCGCAGTCACTCCTTCGAGCGGCCTCTTCCAGGCCGGCCCCCGGCCGGGCCTTGGCTTGCTTCCACCAGGCCGCGGCACTCTCTGCCTAAGCAAGGAACTTAAGCTGGCCATGTTTCTGAGCAACGGACTGCGGACTGCTGGGAACCCCACGCTCCCCAAGGATCTCCACAGGTAGGAGCCTGGGAAGTGCGAACAGGACACTGGCCCAACATGCGAAGGTCGCCCTTGGGGGCGCTGCCCGGAGTTACCTCTAGGTCTGACAAGAGCTTCGACGAACGTCCTCCCAAGCATCTTTGTAACAGCAGTCATCTCTTTGCACTGCCAGGCGATGGCCCTATGGCATGGTGGAAACTGAGAATTTGAAGGCCAGAGTCTGCAGTCCTCCCGCTTGAAGACGCGGAACTTCGAGCATCCTCTTACACACACACACACACACACACACACACACACTCCACTCACGCAAGCAAGCGGCCGTCTCATGCAACCGCACCGCTTCAGCCGTTACCGCTCCATCCTCTGATTGCAGCTTGCCACGCTTTCTGCCACTGCGCACACGACAAAACTGCTAAGCAAGCTGCATGTGCATGCCGCCGCGCTTTCGGCGACGACGATATATGCAATCAGGGAGGCTGCTCGCATGGGCCGTGGATTTGAAACCTCGCGGTGACCGCAGGCTGTTCCAAGTGCGTCTTCAGCGGCACCACGGCCCCTGAGCCTTGCTCCCCAGAGCCGGTGCTTCGTGGTCGGATCGCCGAAACTTCGGCTGCGGCACACCGGCCGCCCCTCAAACAAGTCATTGGAACCTTCTGCACCAAGCCTCGCTGCGCATCTGCTAATTTGCAGATGCGCATGCCACCACGGGAACTTGTTAAACAAATCTATAGTCGGAGCTCGAGACCAGACTTGGTTGGATCTCAGATTGATTTGCTTCTGCCGCTTTCAGCGTGGCAACTTTCAACGAAATGGGTTTCCTTGAGAGGAGCTGTCCAACCTCGTCTGGTGCCCGCGGTATCACTCGTACGGTGACCCGCTCCGTCTGGCGGAATGCTGAGATGACGGAAATGACGGAAATCTTGAAATCCCTTTCGAAACGAGATTTCCGCAGCGGTGCATCCGAGCTCGCCAGCCCCGAGCCCTCTGTCCCAGCTGCGCCCCCAAAATGGCGCCATTCGAGTTCTCAGTGAGTCCTAGCACCTGCCCATTTAGTTTTGGTGCCAGGGGCTGGCATCCCGACGAGTTGCAGCACGGTGCAATGCGTTTCAGGAGTGCTAAACGCAACAAAACTGGCGAGGCTCGTGGCGGCAGCTTTCATTTTCCTTCGCTGGCTGCTACAACTAGTAGTGCTAAGTCACTAGCTATACTGCGCAAGCCGCAAGAGCCTCGCATGCCCACACAGCCGGGGGAATATGCCCCATGCTTGCAGAGACCCCGGGAGCTCTTCGGGTCGCGAAGCTTCAAGGAGCCTCCTCCTGAGCCGGCTCAAGCTCACTCCACGGTCACAGCTCCAAGATCGTAGTCGTTTAAGTCTCAGCTGCAAGTTATGTCAACAAGGCAGAATCCGGTCTAAACCGAGCGATGTGAGACGTGGTTGCTGTGTTCGCCCCAGTTTGGGTTTTCGCCGAGGAGAGAAAAGTGGAGGGAAAGAGAGAGCGGGCTTTCGCGTTTAGGGACTGGCCGATGCGCAGTGCCCAATTTCTCCCAGTCACGTTATGGGTCCCGTGCGTTTGATTTAGGCCGAGGTGCGCCGCTTGAGACCACAGTCCCACCTATAGGTTTGCATGCTGTGGAACTCGCTCCACAAAGCATCTGGCAGCGCGCACGCGATGATCAAGAGAGGGAGTGGCAGCACACTAGATAATCCCAGGTTTGAGAAGCAAGACATCTGTCAACAAGAGCCGCAAGTCATGCGCACTGACTTCACTCTGCAACGCTGGAGCCCCTGAAGCCTGTCTCTGTCTACTACCGTCATAAGAGTCGTAGTAACATGACTGAACATCCACTAGAAATCCCGTCGATGTGCGCTAGTGGATGCCTTGCTGACCAAGAGGCCCGCCCAACTGTTCATTCTGTTAGGGTCGCCCCAGCACTTGAACGTGTCATCATCCAAGCGTGCGCATGCGTGGTCCTTTCCAGCAACCACCTTCACAGCTGTCCGGCCCACCCCTAGGTCGATAAATGGGAGGTTGTCGCCCATGTCGCTCGAGGCATCGCCGACTGGATTGTCTTCAGGAACTTGAGGATTGGCAAGGCCCACATAGTTACGGCCCCAGCATTTGACACCTCCACCCTCGAGAATGGCACACACATGGAACGAGCCATGCGCGATGTAGATAGCCTTCCTGGAAAGGTGATCTATATTTAAACAGATATTACAAAAAGGAACTGATAGGAATCCCAAGCCACTGACACGACCAGCAGGAATAGAATAGAAGCCAAGACATAATGAGAAAATGTACTACTACATGATGCGAGGGCGAGGTGGGGTACGGTGTACTCCGAGCTTCCGTGGCGTGCCTTCATTGGTGCCCAAATCGACGACCGGCAAGCCATCACCCATGTCCTCTGGCTTCCTGCCAACATTCGGCGTCGCCGCTGAGGTTTCACCCCTGCCCAGCTGCCCCAAGCCGTTTTCGCCCCAACACTTGACCTCATAGGCAAGTCTTTCAATTCTACAGCTTCTCTGTGCAACTGTATAACAACAAGGTTTGTAGCAAAAGCCTATAGGGTCTGCGGAGAACTACCGAGACGGACCACTAAAGGGCCGGCCCGAACCGAGCTCTAAGAAGGGCCGGCTGGCTGCACCAGTGTTGAGCAAAGCACACACGGAACGATAGCCAACTGACACTTGCACTGCGTGGAGGTCGGTACCCAGATCGATTGGCACGTACGTTGGTGCAGACCTGCTGTTATCAATGTCGCTGCCACGCCCAAGCTGGCCTTCCCGATTTCGGCCCCAACACGTCAGTTGCCGGCCATCTGTTGGGTGTTGGACAATGGCACATGCAAACTCAGTGCCAGCATCGCCGTCAATTGCAGGGTTGCCGGCCAGGTCCACGGTAGGCAAGTTGTCCCCCATTTCGTCCGGAGCATCCCCGGCCTTGTTGCCGTTGGGTACAAAGCCGAGCTGTGCGAAATCACTGAGGCCCCAACATTTAAGGGACTGATCATCCAAGATGGCACAGGTGAAACGGTGACCGGCCATCAGTTTCACGACTTTGCGATTGGAACCTACATCCACCGCAGGCAGCAAGTCCCCCATGCCTGTCCCTGCAACACCTTGGCCTCTGTAAGCATCGTCGCCCAAGCCAAGCTGCCCCACCCTGTTGTCGCCCCAACACTTTGTGTCGTCATTGTCAAGTATAGCACAAACGTGAAAGCCTGCACCGCCCGAAGCCAAAGCCGTTGCGGTTCGGCCCTGTCCAAGGTCCACCTTGTTTCCGTAGGGGGGCGATGCGCTGGTGCCACCTGTGCTTCCGTGCTCGTTCGAACCAACGCACCACACCTTGCTAGGAACGTTGGCGCTCTCCACGATGGCGCAGGTGCCAAGCTCAAAGGCTGCGAGGTTGGCCTGAACGAATGCTGAAAAGTGCACGCTACATCCCTCTACTCGGCCTGTGCCTGCATGAGGCCCTTCACGTCACCCCAAGCCCTGTGCTGCAAGCTACTGCAGGCTGCTGAGTCCTGGGCCAATGCTTGAGGGGCAGTCGTCGTTGTGGTGGACGTCCTTGCCGCGCAACTGATGCCTCACAAGCCGTCCGCTGTAAAACAGCAAGCGAATGCGTGACGTTTTCTGAGCATTGATCCTCTGAGGCCCCGGGCAGGTGTCGGGGGCGATCTGCGGGTTGCCGGTGTACCAGCTCTTATCCAAATACTCGCTCTGCACCCAGGCGGTCTCACAGGGGAAGTCGGCCACTGGCGAGCTGTCGCAAACTTGCTTTGCCGCGGGGTCAGGGATGTGGACTGCCAGGCCGGAAGTGTCGACGACCAGGTCCTGGCAGGCCTGCACAGCAGCTTGGGTGAGGTTGCTCTGGAGCAGCTGAATGTAGCAGATGACCTTCTTTGCGGCAGTGTAGGAGGCCTCACGGCGCGAGTCCGAAGCAGCAATGGTGGCTAGCAACTGCAGCCACGTTTGGTTGACGTTTTGATAGCAAGTGTCGATGGCGTCGCAGCTGTCCGTCAGCTGCTGTCGGTACTCACAGAAGTGGCTCTCCAAGGTGGATTGCTCCACCCGGCACTCCTCGCTTCGGTTGTTCACCGCATGGAGGCTGCTGAAATAGGTATCTTTCAGGGTGACCATGCTAGGTTCGAAGCTGCCAAAGAAGCTACTGATGGTGGCTGCGCAATCGATCATGACCTGCAGATGCTCGGCCGTCTGCGGGTTGTAGCCGTCCAGGTAGGCCTGCATGCAGTTCCTGACGTCTTGGGGCAGCGCTTCGGTGCCGTTGCCAAGGTAGTTGAGCCAGGCAGTTCCGTTCTGGCCCGACAAGGTCTGCTCTGTGGTGCGGCAGGCGTCGTGGGAGCTGCTGGCGCCGCTCACAAGGGTGCTCAGGTTCTGGCTTTGAAGCTGTCGAGACGACAAATCGCTGTTGCATTGAGCGAAGCCCTCCGCAAGGTCAAGGAGCAGCTGCTCGTCTGCGAGGTGGGAGGCGTTGATCTGCGCGAGCAAGCTCTGCATCTCCGTGAGCACGGAGTGAAGGAGAGTCATCGTGGTGTTGCTCAAGCCGAAGTCCTCGCGCGTCAGGTTGTAGTCGCTGAGATTCTGCGCATTCTCCATCTCCGCGAGCTTCTGCAGGGCCAGGGCCTCCATGTCCTTGTGGACCTTGTGGACCTCATCCAGCCTTCCTTCCTCCATGTCTGCTCCGCGCTCTGCCGCGTGTTCCGCCAAGCTGGGGAAGGGCCAAAGCGAGTGCCCGCCGGACTTCCCGGCGGTGACCTGCAGCAGCGCGGCCTGCTCGCAGGTCTCCTCGGTCGCCTCGCAGCCGGGGGCGAAGGACATGGCCTGTGTGGCCAAGGCCAAGGCAGCCACGAGGCCGGTCGAGGCCTCAACAGCGAAAGAACCAAAGAATCCGAAAAAGGAAGTATGGGCACACGCGCGACAGGTTCTGGAAAGCTACAGTATTCGTTGCACTGCCGAGGCACTGCCAAGCGCGAGGCGAAGCCGGGGAGCATGGTGGGAAGTCCCAGGCACGGCTTTAAGGTCGGTGGGCTGACGCGGCGTCAAAAATAACTTGGGCCACATAGCAGGAGTCACAGTACTAGGTGCATCGAGCCGAGGCAAACAAACAACCTCAGCTACGGCAGCTTCAGGGACTCGCAGTCCCATCCCTGATCCGCTGCAAAGGTACAGACCTTAGCCGACCGTCATGTTACCCATTACCCAGCAGTATAACTGCAAGGGACTCCCTTTCGAGTCGAAGCCTAAACTAAACCCTAAAGCCCTAAGCGCTAAACCCCGAAACCCTAAACCCTGAAACCCTAAACCCGTAAACCCCTGAAAGCCACTGAGCCTGCACAGGAGGCTCCGAAGAGCAGGAGAAGAAGGATCAGCGCGCCCGACTGCCCGGCAGAAGCTTGGGGCTTCTAAGGTCACGGCTCCCTGGGGCCGACTTAGGGCTCCCTAGGGGGTTCCTTTGATTTCGCGAATGTCCAGTGGAACGTGTCTTTCCCTTTGCAGCCTGGCATCCCTGGGCAGTCTCCAAAGCACGTCTACGGGGGCGGAAGGCTCGATGCCACATGAGCTTCAGAACGAATAGCTGGTTGGGAAAAGCAATCTCATGTTACTGCACCAGATTTGTGCGTGCATGCATATATCTCCATAGCTACATACCTACATACTTGGATAGATACATACAAGCACATTTGCGGCTGTGTGTGTGTGTAGATAAAAGCTAAAGAATGACGATGAGATGGAAAGCCTCCAGCTGGGATCTGATGTGCATCATATTCAGCCGGGCCAGACGCCGCTTCACCTCACATTCACAGTAGTTGCAACGGCTTTTCAGGATCAGAAAAGTATCTTAAGTCACACGATAGTGGGATACATAGTTTCAACCGCAGAACTGATCGTCTGAAAACGACACTGGCAACGACAGGGGTAGTAGCCGTGGCAGTATCAAGATCACGACTCTCTCTCTCTACTCCAGGTACGGCTCGCCATGCTGCTCAAAGGACACCCCTCCAGGCCTGATAGCGTATCAGGTTCGCGGAAACCTGCACTGACAGAGCTGTACGTCAGCTCGATAAGGCCACTGAAGACGCGGCGCACAGAGGCTCAAGCTGCAGTGGCTGCCACCAGCGGGAATGGAAACCATCTGGACCCTGTCATGGATGTAGCAAAAGAGAGAGTGTCAAGAGTGGACTTCATATAAGCTTGCAGATGTTTTGTCACAGCATGACACTATGCACCATCTCCCCAAACCTTCAAATCCGTCCTGTCGCCTGGCCTGGGGTGGTCATGTAAACACGCACAGCTGACCCAAGTGGCAGCACATGAGCATCCAGAAGCAAGACCTGTCGGTTTGAGGGCTGGTCTCAGGGTCGAGGCTCGGCTTTAGGGATGAGGGTTTGAGCTTGAGGGCTTAACTTTCAGGGTTTAGGTTTCAGTTTTGTTTTGGGGGGGGGTTGTAGGATTTTGCAATGACATGAAGAGATGTGGATAGTCGATGTGTTGGAAGGACGCATTCCCCACTTTATGCATTCATACTTGGAGATCTGACCCGACTTAGACGTCCGAGCTGGGGGAAGTACTGATATGAAGAATCGATTTGCCGTGATATACATGATCTGTGTCTAGCAAAGAGTGGATTGTGATCGCAACTCGGAGAAAATGACTAGGAGCCCCTTTATATAGGCTATCAATGGTAGGATCCTTCTTACAGGTGCGGAAACCTCTTCATGCCCTATAGACCCATGTGCTTCTGCAGAACTTCCGACTGTAACCCTACTTGGAGGTTCATGGGTAGTTGTAAGTGGGTGTTACAAGACCCCTAATATGGATTATAAGTATATAGTTACCCTACTTATAACCCCACTTATAACTCCCCATGAACCTCCACGTAGCCCGAAATCCTATACCCCTTATAGAATCCCTATAGATCCTGAAGGAACTAGCCCGAACCCCTCCCCCTAAAACCTCCCAGTAGAGCCCGGAGAGCCCTGGGCTCGGGCCTGGCGCCCACTGCTTGCCAGGCGAAGAGCACCAGGGAGGCTGCCACGGCTGCAGAGAGCGGGGGCCCTCACTGAGGGATAGGGCTTCGGGCTCACTGTGCTTTTTACATTTAGGGTTTAGGGTTCAGGGTTTAAAGTTTAGGGGTTCAGGGTTCAGGTTTTTTGGTGTTGAAGGCTTGGGGCTGAAGGGATCTCGGGGGGGTTGCGGGTCTGCGGCTCCGGGGATTCAGGGCTCCTGCCATGAACTCTAAACCCTAACTGCCCTAACCCGAACTCCCCAAACAGCCCCAAAGTTTTAGATCCCTTCTTGGGCTCTCCCCTCGCCCAGAATCTAAACGAGGGGCCGCAGCTGGACAGTGACCGCTTGAGCGGGCTCCAAGGCCTCAAGGAGCCGCAACTTTGGGGCGACTTTGGGGGGGTTAGGGAGTTTAGGCTTTAGGGTTTGGGGTCTCGAAACTTTGGGATCGAGGGTGCAAGAAGCCAAAAGCTGCGATCTGTGGAAAATCTAAGGGCAGCTCATCGCAAAGCCAACATCGCAGCGCCGCTGCAGTCCCTGGAGGCAAGGTCTGCACATTCCAGGCGTCCTCAACATGTAAGCCCTCAGCTTACCGTTGGTTAGTAGGGAATGGAGGAACGGGACAAAATTTTAATTACTATTACTGCCATTCTTCCATTCCCTACTAACCAAAGGTAAGTCAGTGCACCGGCCCACCGGCCTATGTATCCACGACCTCTCCCAAGGTGGTTCAGCTCCTATAGGAGCACCAAGGAATGCGGTTTCCATCTCGAGAAAAGCCCAGGCCCGAAAGCGCCTCCTTCTTGGACTGGCGTCGCACCTTGCGCAAAGAGCAGCAGAGGAGCTCTCCAAATCTGACCAAGGTGCGCAAACGACTGCATGTATGCATCGATGAATACATGTACAGGTAGGTAGCCAGCTAGCTAGCTACAATAGCTGGCATTCCTAATTTAACAGCGAGAGAGATGCGCACATCTGTACCAGACAAGTAGTATTCGTAAATGCGTGTGATGCGCTTCCCTATCATAACAAGTCACACCAGGGACACACGAGGGCTCTGCATGTTACACAAGAGAGAACCCAGCCTGCTCGGCGGCCGTCTGCTGCTGCCAGTGGCTCAAGACTCTCGTTAATCGTGCTGGCCTGTGCCCACCACAGAGCTTCTCTTCTTCACGAAAGCCCTGAGACCGCACCTCTTTTGGAAGAACCGACCTGCTGCAGCTGCCGCGCCAAAGCCTGCCATGCAGATGATTCAGAGAACACAATTCCAAAGAAGCCGTGTCCAATCAGATGAATGAACCGAAAGGCTAGTTGATCAGATGGCCCGCTTGTCATCCATCGGGAGCGGCACGGATTGGTGCAATTCTTACCATACTCCTATAGGACCTATAATTGTGACTAGGTATTCCGAGCCCCTGCATGACAGCCTCGAAGCCCACCGGCACGGGAATTGTTCTTGCGCTCCAAGGGGTGAAGGGGTGGAACACAAGCTCCTGCTGCAAGCTTTACGCTCTCGCAGCTCGGACGCATCCAGACGAGGTTCATGGTCGGCAAGACAGTGGCTTAGAGTACTCTCCCGGCGGCATATGAAAGACAGCACCAACAGAAGGCAATGCCACGCATGCTGCAAGCTTTAGGGTTTAGGCTTTTGTAGCTGGTCTAGGGTTTCGGGAGTTCGGGGATTGTTTCAGTTTGGGGTTCGGGGTCGTAAGAGTGACGCATCAGGATTGAAGGCTTGAAGGTCTCATGGGACTCCAAGTTCGGAAGGCCCAAGCTTGTGGGGCGTTCTACCCTAAACTCGGTTCTTGTTGTGGGATATTAAATTCAAGTTGCCAGAATGAGGGGAACCATATTGTTTACTATATCAGATCCCTATCATGGCAACTTAAACGAAAGTCCTTAACAAGAACCCAGTCAACCCCAAATGCGAAACCTCCGGGTTCGGTCTTTCGGGAGCGAGCCTGCACCAGAGGCTCCCTCCAGCGATCTCGAGCATCTAGCCTTGGAGAGAAGGACGGTGGCCACTTCGCAGACTTGGGCTTCAGGGCTTAGGGCCCAGCCGAGAGCTTTGAAGATGTGGGGTCTAAGGACGTTTTTTTTTGAGGGCTCTTTTGCGTCTGCACGAGGGTCCGGCCTACGCAAGCCTACTTGTCTAAGGACGTTTAGGGCTTCGGGCTTAAAGCTCGTTCTTCCGGGGCCCCGGCGCCGGGGGACACCTCCCTGTCTAACAAAACACCGATGCTTTTTGATCACAGCTCCTCTGCCGGCTCACATGGGCCCATGCACAGCGACTGCATGCCTCAGCAGCTCTTCCCGGCAGCCCTTCTTTGTGGCAGGGCAGGGAGTGGGAGTGGGGAACGGATCTCTGCAGCTCCGCTACCCCTGACAACCCACTCGTCAAAGCAATCCCAAAGGTTCATTCCCTTCTAGAGGTCAAGGCAGCATCCAAACAGACCGTATTTAACCAGGAGCCACCGAGGACTTCTGGCAAATTCCCTGAACTCCAAACAACAGTAGAATTTCACTTGGGTGTAGCCGCGGATCTGAGCTCCGTGCCATTCCAAATCAAATTGAGCCAAAGGCCTGATGCTTCTGGCAGAGAGATAAAGATGAGGATATGACCGGTACGTCTTCTACTAGTTGGAGCGCAAGGCTTGGAGCTAAATGAACGAAACATCCATGAAAAAGAAAGGGCCGCTCAAAATTTCGGGAGTGGCACAAGGCCATGTGCTCAACGCGGGGCCTCCTTGCGCAGGGACCGCAGCTGGGGGTTCCCCAGAAATGAGCTTGCAGCAGCTATAGTGGCGAGTGGCTTCAATCGTCTCTGAGCAATCTCATTCTCAAGGACCTCCGATCGCTAAACCACACATGCAACCCTCATCATGTTCCAGCCTTCAATACAGGAACCCCGAAAGACGGAAGCCAGAACGTCAGGATGGGGCTCTGTGCCGGAGACCTGCGAACCCGTACGTCCTGAACCCACATATCATCCGAACTCCGAAGCCACTGAACCCCACAGCATTCCAAGTGACTCCTGCGCCCTAAGCATCACATCATCCCAAATCCTATCAAAATCAGCCCAAACCCTGAACCCTACACCCTTTTGGCATCTAGCTCAACCCTTTTTTGAACCCAGACTCTGCCGATCAGCTGGGAAGCACTCTAGCTCAACCCTAAACCCTAAACCCCAAGTGCTAAGCCGCTAAAGTGGCGGCCTCTGGCGCAGGCAGGGCGCAGGCTCAGCAGCCCAAAACATGCTCGGCCTAAGGGTGTCAGGCTTTTCCGATAATAGGGGGCCCTAGGGTTTGGCGTTTAGGGTTTAGGGTTTCGGGTTTAGGGTTTCGGGTTTAGGGTTTCGGGTTTAGGGGTTAGGGGTTAGGGTTTAGGGGTTTAATACCATACCCTACATAGTAGGATCGGATCCTTATTATAAGGACCCCAAACTAGAGATAAGGTAGCCGTAAATTTTTGGAAACTCCCCATGTTTAGAAGCCAGGATCACCACCCGGAGCCATGTCAGGCCTAAGGGCTCCACTTGGAGGATCATGGGACTAAGTATCTAGGGCTATAAATACAGTAACTGTAGATACACTAAATTACTTATAACTCCGGCTAAAGTATTTGTAACCTTACTTACTAGGCCCCATGATCCTCCAAGTAGGGCAGGGTTTATAAGTGTATCAGGTCCTGAGCTGGCCCCTTTAAATTGCAGCTGTTCGCCTGAAGCCTCATTGTTTGCGTACTCGGACTCGGACCTTTTAGCTAAAGGGAAACCATGGCTAGGTTCAGCATGACGGTGCTAGGGGTTCAGGGGAAAATCTCTGCTGAACCAACACTTACACGGCGTGCGGCCAAACACGCAATTACGCGACACCCCCCGAACCAAGAATTACACAACACCCCAGCACGGAATTATGATTCCCGCCGCGCAGAATTACGCAACACCCCAACTGAAGAAAGAATTGTGCAGCGACCCCGCCAAACCCACAGTCACACAATACACGCACCAAACACAGGCTTGTGCAACACCTCTGCCGAACCAGAAGTACAGTACGCAACACCCCTTGCATCCTCTGCCACACGGTCCCCTTGCCCACCTGGCCCAGTTGCCCCACTCGTCCCACGTATCCCACTGGCCTCACTTAGGCCCCGCCTTACGGAAGACAATCTAGCTTGGTACTGGCTGCGCGGCGTAGCGCGAGCGTACCACATCAGTCAGCCACACAGGCAACTTTTCGCAGCCTACTTTTTCAGTATGTAAGGAAAGATACCAAACAGGCCTTGGCCGGGTCCTTACGTTGGCACCCCTGTCCTGGCCCGAGGGGCAAAGGTGAGGATGGGAACTTTAGATAACTTTAGGGCATTTCCATTCGTAGGGCAAGGCCTTGCCACTCTTGGACTGGGGAGCGACTGGCTTTCTGGCAGTACTGCAAAGAGCCACAACACCGGACGTGTGACACCAGAGGTTCTGGCGTAGAGGACCGCCACCAACTTGGCCTGTAGATGCAGTGCTTCTGTTCTTGCACCCAAAGCAGGACCAAGACTACTTTTTGGTTGCGGCTGCGCAGCCGTGCAGAACCTAAATTCGGTAAGTTCCTCGGCGGCGTCTCGGGAGAGCTGCGCAGTGTCTCCCAGAGCCTGGCCATTGGACATCAGAAGTGTGGAGTAAACAGGGATGGACTTCGGAGCACCTCTTTCCCGTTACCCGAGCTGAAGTCGACGCTTCGAATTTGTCGAGTTCGCCTGCACTCGGCAGCAAAAGAAGAATTTGTAGATTCTAAGAAATCATATTGCGACGACTAGCTTGACTATGTCATTCTTTAGGTTCTTGTGCTGACTCCTCTTGTCGCTCCGACTTCGCTGTTGGAAGCCTGATCTCTGCTCTTGCTGCAGCAAGGACGGGAAAGAATCCGTTGTCATGTTGCTGTCAGTTCTTGTTGATGCTTCTGGATGCTGGCGTGATGGTGATGGTGGTGACCACACAGTTGAGGTTTCTCATGCTGGGACTGCCTCTTCGTCACGGCGTTCAGCAGACCGTTGATGCAACGTCCGCGGATTCCTGCAAGGCTCTGACAATGCAACTCTGCTGGACGCTGCACTCCGATCCACCTGTCTGATGTCTGAGGCCACCAAAGTTCCGCGTGCTTTGCACATGAAATCATCTCTGCGAGTCTGTGCCTCCACACGATTCGGACTGAAAGTTTCAAAGCTGTCTTCAAAATCACTTGACCACTGGGTGGCTCCCGACATCTTTCGCCGCAGGATAACAGCTGAATAGATCAATGAGAAGCGATCCAAGTCTATATGGCCTGCCCTACTGACCTAGCGTGGCTGCTCAATTGGGTCTCCGTCAAGGAACGATAGTACAGTTGTGATGATATGATATGATGTGGTATGATGTGATATGATATGATGTGATATGAGAGGATGTGCCATGATATGATACATCTCTTGTTAAGTAAAAGTAGGGATTGCACCAGGGAGGCCTGCGTGAATTCGTCTGAGAAGTCTTTCAGTCCTCCAGCCCGAAGACGCGGAACTTCCAGCATCCTCTTCAACACACTCCACTCACGCAAGCAAGCGGCCGTCTCATGCAACCACATGCAACCGCACCGCTTCAGCCGTTACCGCTCGATCCTCTGATTGCAGCTTGCCACGCTTTCTGCCACTGCGCACACGACAAAACTGCTAAGCAAGCTGCATGCGCACGCCGCCGCCGCGCTTTTGGCGGCGGGCGATATATGCAGAAGCAGGGAGGCTCGCATGGGCCGTGGGTTTGAAATTTCGCGGTGATCGCAGGCTGTTCCACATGCGTCTTTACTGGCACCGCGGCCCAAAAGCCTTGCTCCCCAGAGCCGGTACTGCTGTTGCGGCTGGCGGCACACCGGCCGCCCCTCAAACAACTCATTGGAACCCGACTTCGTGTACATCATACATCTGCACAAAGCCTCGCTGCGCATCTGCTAATTTGCAGATGCGCATGCCACCACGGGAACTTGTTAAGCAAATCTATAGTCGGAGCTCGAGACCAGACTTGGTTGGATCTCAGATTGATTTGCTTCTGCCGCTTTCAGCGTGGCAACTTTCAACGAAATGGGTTTCCTTGAGAGGAGCTGTCCAACCTCGTCTGGTGCCCGCGGTATCACTCGTACGGTGACCCGCTCCGTCTGGCGGAATGCTGAGATGACGGAAATGACGGAAATCTTGAAATCCCTTTCGAAACGAGATTTCCGCAGCGGTGCATCCGAGCTCGCCAGCCCCGAGCCCTCTGTCCCAGCTGCGCCCCCAAAATGGCGCCATTCGAGTTCTCAGTGAGTCCTAGCACCTGCCCATTTAGTTTTGGTGCCAGGGGCTGGCATCCCGACGAGTTGCAGCACGGTGCAATGCGTTTCAGGAGTGCTAAACGCAACAAAACTGGCGAGGCTCGTGGCGGCAGCTTTCATTTTCCTTCTCTGGCTGCTACAACTAGTAATGCTGACTTATACTGCGCAAGCCGCAAGAGCCTCGCATGCCCACGCAGCCGGAATACCCGATGTTAGCAGAACCCCGGTCGGGGAGCTCTTCGGGTCCCGAAGCTTCAAAGAGCCTCCTCCAGAGCCGGCTCAAGCCCACTCCACGTTCACAGCTACTCTGCTCAGAGCAACGACCAGCGACTCAAAGATCGTAGTCGCTTAAGCCTCAGCTGCAAGTTATGTCAACAAGTCAGAACCCGGTCTAAACCGAGCGATGTGAGACGTGGTTGCTGTGTTCGCCCCAGTTTGGGTTTTCGCCGAGGAGAGAAAGGGGGAGGGAAAGAGAGAGCGGGCTTTCGCGTTTAGGGACTGGCCGATGCGCAGTGCCCAATTTCTCCCAGTCACGTTATGGGCCCAGTGCGTTTGATTTAGGCCGAGGTGCGCCGTTTGAGACCGCAGTCCCACTTATAGGTTTGCATGCTGTGGAACTCGCTTCACAAAGCCTCTGGCAGCACGCACGCGATGATCAAGAGAGGCAGTGGCAGCACACTAAATACTCCAAAGTTTGAGAGCAAGACGTCTGCCAACAAGAGCCGCAAGTCGTGCACCACTGATTTCGCTCTGCAACGCAGCCCGGAAGCCTTTCTCTGCCTACCACCGTCATAAGAGTCGTAGTGACATGACTGAACATCCACTAGAAATCCCGTTGACGTGCGCTAGTGGATGCCGTGCTGACCAAGAGGCTCTGCCAATAGAATCGGTTGACGAATCCGCTCCAGCACTTGAACGTGTCATCATCCAAGCGTGCGCATGTGTGGTCCCTTCCAGCAGCCACCTTCACAGCTGTCCGGCCCACCCCTAGGTCGATAAATGGGAGGTTGTCGCCCATCTCGTTGGGGAAGTCGCCGATGTTAGGTTGTGAAGGAAAAAGTTGAGGATGGGCACCGCCCAAATGGTTACGGCCCCAGCATTTGAGACCTCCGCCCTCGAGAATGGCACACACATGCCACGCGCCATGCGCGATGTAGATGGCCTTCCTGGAAAGGTGATCTATACTTAGACAGATATTACAAAACGGAACTGATGGGAATCCCAAGCCACTGACACGACCTTCCAAGACATAGTAAGAAGACTTACTACTACATCATGCGGGGGCGGAATGGGTACGGTATACTCCGAGCTTCCGTGGGGTGCCTGCATTGGTGCCCAAATCGACGACCGGCAAGCCATCACCCATGTCCTCTGGCTGCCTGCCAACATTCGGCGTCACCGATGAGGGTTGACCCCTGCCCAGCTGCCCGAAGTCATTGACGCCCCAACACTTGACCTCATAGGCAAGTCTTTCAATTCCGCAGCTTCCCTGTGCAACCGTACAACAATAAGGATTGTAGCAAAAGCCTACGGATAACTACCGAGACGGATCAGCACTAAAAGGCCCGAACCGAGCTCTAAGAAGGGCCGGCTGGCTGCACCAGTGTTGAGCAAAGCACACGCGGAACGATAGCCAACTGACACTTGCACTGCGTGGAGGTCGGTACCCAGATCGATTGGCACGTACGTTGGTGCAGACTTGGTGTCACCGATTACGCTGCCGCGGCCAAGTTGGCCTTCCCAATTCCGCCCCCAACACGTCAGTTGCCGGCCATCTGTTGGGTGTTGGACAATGGCACATGCACTCTGAGTGCCAGCATCGCCGTCAAGTGCAGGGTTGCCCGCCAGGTCCACAGTAGGCAAGTTGTCACCCATCTCGTCCGGAGCATCCCCGGCCTCGTCATTGTTGTTTCCGTAGCCGCCGCTCACAGCATTGGGTGAAAAGCCGAGCTGTCCGGCATCACTGAAGCCCCAACATTTAACGGACTGATCGTCCAAGATGGCACAGGTGAAATGGTGCCCGGCCATCAGTTTCACGACTTTGCGATTGGAACCTACATCCACCGCAGGCAGCACATCCCCCATGCCTGTCACAGGCCAACCTGTGCCTCTGTTAGCGTCGTCGCCCAAGCCAAGCGGCCCCCGCCTGTTGTCGCCCCAACACTTTGTCTCCTCGTTGTCAAGCAGAGCACAAACGTGATTGCCTGAAGCCTGAGAAGCCAAAGCCGTTGCGGTGCGGCCCTGTCCAAGGTCCACCTTGTTTCCAGCTTGGGCTCCGTAAACGCTCGAACCAACGCACCATACCTTGCTAGGAACGTTGGCGCTCTCCACGATGGCGCAGGTGCCTCTCTCAAAGGCTGCGAGGTTGGCCTGAACGAATGCTGAAAAGTGCGCGCTACATCCCTCTACTCGGCCTGTGCCTGCAAGAGGCCCTTCACGTCACCCCAAGCCCTGTGCTGCAAGCTACTGCAGGCTGCTGAGTCCTAGGCCAATGCTTGAGGGGCAGTCGTCGTTGTGGTGGACGTCCTTGCCGCGCAACTGATGCCTCACAAGCCGTCCGCTGCAAAACAGCAAGCGAATGTGTGACGCTTTCTGAGCATTGATCCTCTGAGGCCCCGGGCAGGTGTCGGGGGCGATCTGCGGAGGGTCCTTGTACCAGCTCTTATTCAAATACTCGCTCTGCACCCAGGCGGGCTCACAGGGGAAGTCGGCCACTGGCGAGCTGTCGCAAACTTGCTTTGCCGCGGGGTCAGGGATGTGGACTGCCAGGCCGGAAGTGTCGACGACCAGGTCCTGGCACGCCTGCACAGCAGCTTGGGTGAGGTTGCTCTGGAGCAGCTGGATGTAGCAAATCACCTTCTTGGCGGCAGTGTAGGAGGCCTCACGGCGCGAGTCCGAAGCAGCAATGGTGGCTAGCAACTGCAGCCACGTTTGGTTTACGTTTTGATAGCAAGTGTCGATGGCGTCGCAGCTGTCCGTCAGTTGCTGTCGGTACTCACAGAAGTGGCTCTCCAAGGTGGATTGCTCCACCCGGCAATCCTCGCTCTGGTTATTCACCGCATGGAGGCTGCTGAAGTAGGTATCTTTCAGGGTGCCCATGCTAGGTTCGAAGCTGCCAAAGAAGCTACTGATGGTGGCTGCGCAATCGATCATGGCCTGCAGATGCTCGGCCGTCTGCGGGTTGTAGCCGTCCAGGTAGGCCTGCATGCAGTTCCTGACGTCTTGGGGCAGCGCTTCGGTGCCCTTGCCAAGGTAGTTTAGCCAGGCGGTTCCGTTCTGGCCCGACAAGGTCTGCTCCGTGGTGCGGCAGGCGTCGTGGGAGCTGCTGGCGCCGCTCACAAGGGTGCTCAGGTTCTGGCTTTGAAGCTGTCGAGACGACAGGTCGCTGTTACATTGAGCGAAGCCCTCCGCAAGGTCAAGGAGCAGCTGCTCGTCCGCGAGGTGGGAGGCGTTGATCTGCGCGAGCAAGCTCTGCATCTCCGTGAGCACGGAGTGAAGGAGAGTCATCGTGGTGTTGCTCAAGCCGAAGTCCTCGCGCGTCAGGTTGTAATCGCTAAGGTTGCCGGCATGTTCCATCTCCGCGAGCTTCTGCAGGGCCAGGGCCTCCATGTCCTTGTGGACGTTGTGGACCTCATCCAGCCTTCCTTCCTCCATGTCTGCTCCGCGCTCTGCCGCGTGTTCCGCCAAGCTGGGGAAGGGCCAAAGCGAGTGCCCGCCGGACTTCCCGGTGACCTGCAGCAGCGCGGCCTGCTCGCAGGTCTCCTCGGTCGCCTCGCAGCCGGGGGCGAAGGACATGGCCTGTGTGGCCAAGGCCAAGGCAGCCACGAGGCCGGTCGAGGCCTCAACAGCAAAAGAATCAACTAGTCCGCAAAAGGAAGTATGGGCGCAGGTTATCCTTTGCACTGCCGAGGCACTGCCAAGCGCGAGGCGAAGCCGGGGAGCATGGTGGGAAGTCCCAGGCACGGCTTTAAGGTCGGTGGGCTGACGCGGCGTCAAAAACAACTTGGGCCACACAGCAGGAGTCACAGTACTAGGAGCATCGAGTCGAAGCAAACAAACAACCTCAGCTACGGCAGCTTCAGGGACTCTCAGTCCCATCCCTGATGAGGTCATTCGCTCCGGCATCGGGGACACCTCCCTGTCTAACAAAACACCGATGCTTTTTGATCACAGCTCCTCTGCCGGCTCACATGGGCCCATGCACAGCGACTGCATGCCTCAGCGGCTCTTCCCGGCAGCCCTTTTTTGTGGCAGGGCAGGGAGTGGGAGTGGGGAACGGATGTCTGCAGCTCCGCTACCCCTGACAACACACTCGTCCCAAAGGTTCATTCCCTTCTAGAGGTCAAGGCAGCATCCAAACAGACCGTATTTAAGCAGGAGCCACCGAGGACTTCTGGCAAATTCCCTGAACTCCAAACAACAGTAGAATTTCACGTGGGTGTAGCCGCGGATCTGAGCTCCGTGCCATTCCAAATCAAATTGAGCCAAAGGCCTGATGCTTCTGGCAGAGAGATAAAGATGAGGATATGACCGGTACGTCTTCTACTCGTTGGGGCGCAAGGCTTGGAGCTAAATGAACGAAACATCCATGAAAAAGAAAGGGCCGCTCAAAATTTCGGGAGTGGCACAAGGCCATGTGCTCAACGCGGGGTCTCCTTGCGCAGGGACCGCAGCTGGGGGTTCCCCAGAATTTGGAGAACTTGCAGTGGCGTGCGGGGAAATGATATTACCCGCGGGCAGCTTGGGAGATGAGCTTGCAACAGCTATAGTGGCAAGTGGCTTCAATCGTCGCTGAGCAATCTCATTCTCAAGGACCTCCGATCGCTAAACCACACATGCAACCCTCATCATGTTCCAGCCTTCCATACAGGAACCCCGAAGGACGGAAGCCAGAACGTCAGGATGGGGCTCTGTGCCGGAGACCTGCGAACCCGTGCGTCCTGAATGCACATATCATCCGAACTCCGAAGCCACTGAACCCCACAGCATTCCAAGTAATTCCTGAGCCCTAAGCATGACATCATCCCAAATCCTATCAAAATCATCCCAAACCCTGAACCCTACACCCTTTCTGCATCCAGCTCAACCCTAAACCCTAAACCCCAAGTCCTAAGCCGCAAAAGCTGGTGCTGCTGAAAGGGCGGCCTCTGGCGCAGGCAGGGCGCAGGCTCAGCAGCCCAAAACATGCTCGGCCTAAGGGTGTCAGGCTTTTCCGATAATAGGGGGCCCTAGGGCTTGGCGTTAGGGTTTCGGGTTTAGGGTTTCGGGTTTAGGGGTTAGGGTTTAGGGTTTAGGGGTTTAATACCATACCCTACATAGTAGGATCGGATCCTTATTACAAGGACCCCAAACTAGAGATAAGGCAGCCATGTTTAGAAGCCAGGATCACCACCCGGAGCCATGTCAGGCCTAAGGGCTCCACTTGGAGGATCATGGGACTTAGTATGTAGGGCTATAAATACAGTAACTGTAGATACACTTAATGCCTTATAACTCCGGCTAAAGTATTTGTAACCTTACTTACTAAGCCCAGTGATCCTCCAAGTAGAGTTTATAAGTGTATAAGGTCCTGAACTGGCCCCTTTGAATTGCAGCTTTTTGCCTGAAGCCTCATTGTTTGCGTACTCGGACTCGGACCCCTTAGCTAAAGGGAGACAATGGCTAGGTTCAGCATGACGGTGCTAGGGGTTCAGGGGAAAATCTCTGCTGAAGCAACACTTACGCGGCGTGCGGCCAAACACGCAATTACTCGACACCCCCCGAACCAAGAATTACACAACACCCCAGCACGGAATCATGATTCCCGCCGCGCAGAATTACGCAACACCCCAACTGAAGAAAGAATTGTGCAGCGACCCCGCCAAACCCACAGTCACACAATACACGCACCAAACACAGGCTTGAGCAACACCTCTGCCTAACCAGAAGTACAGGACGCAACACCCATTGCATCCACGCTGTCTTCAAAATCACTTGACCACTGGGTGGCTCCCGACATCTTTCGCCGCAGGATAACAGCTGAATAGATCAATGAGAAGCTATCCAAGTCTATATGGCCTGCCCTACTGACCTAGCGTGGCTGCTCAATTGGGTCTCCGTCAAAGAACGATAGTACAGTTGTGATGATATGATATGAGATGATATGATATGGTATGATGTGATATGATATGGTGTGATATGAAAGGATGTGATGTGATATGATATGATGTAATATGATATGAAAGGATGTGATATGATATGATATGGTATGGCTCTTGTTAAGTAATAGTAGGGATTGCTCCAGGGAGGCCTGCGTGGATTCTTCTGAGAAGTCTTTCAATCCTCCAGCCCGAAGACGTGGAACTTCCAGCATCCTCTTCAACACACTCCACTCACGCAAGCAAGCGGCCGTCTCATGCAACCACATGCAACCGCACCGCTTCAGCCGTTACCGCTCGATCCTCTGATTGCAACTTGCCACGCTTTCTGCCACTGCGCACACGACAAAACTGCTAAGCAAGCTGCATGCGCACGCCGCCGCCGCGCTTTTGGCGGCGGGCGATTTGTGCAGAAGCAGGGAGGCTGCTCGCATGGGCCGTGGTTTTGAAACTTTGCAGAAACGCGCTGATCGCAGGCTGTTCCACATGCGTCTTTACTGGCACCGCGGCCCAAAAGCCTTGCTCCCCAGAGCCGGTACTGCTGTTGCGGCTGGCGGCACACCGGCCGCCCCTCAAACAATTCATTGGAACCCGACTTCGTGTACACCATACATCTGCACAAAGCCTCGCTGCGCATCTGCTAAATTGCAGATGTGCCTGCCACTACAGGAACTTGCTAAACAAATCTATAGTCGGAGCTCGAGACCAGACTTGGTTGGATCTCAGATTGATTTGCTTCTGCCGCTTTCAGTATGGCAACTTTCAACGGCTGTCCAACCTCGTCTGGTGCCCGCGGTGTCACTCGTATGGTGACCCGCTCCGTCTGGCGGAATGCTGGGATGACGGAAATGACGGAAATCTTGAAATCCCTTTCGACACGAGATTTCCGCAGCGGTGCATCCGAGCTCGCCAGCCCCGAGCCCTCTGTCCCAGCTGCGCCCCCAAAATGGCGCCATTCGAGTTCTCAGTGAGTCCTAGCACCTGCCCACTCAGTTTTGGAGAGGTGCCAGGGGCTGGCATCCCTACGAGTTGCAGCACGGTGCAACGCGTTTCAGGGGTGCTAAACGCAACAAAACTGGCGAGGCTCGTGGCGGCAGCTTTCATTTTCCTTCGCTGGCTGCTACAACTAGTAATGCTAAGTTACTAGCTATACTGCGCAAGCCGCAAGAGCCTCGCATGCCCACACAGCCGGGGGAGTATGCCCCATGCTTGCAGAGACCCCGGGAGCTCTTCGGGTCCCGAAGCTTCAAAGAGCCTCCTCCAGAGCCGGCTCAAGCCCACTCCACGTTCACAGCTACTCTGCTCAGAGCAACGACCAGCGACTCAAAGATCGTAGTCGTTTAAGCCTCAGCTGCAAGTTATGTCAACAAGTCAGAACCCGGTCTAAACCGAGCGATGTGAGACGTGGTTGCTGTGTTCGCCCCAGTTTGGGTTTTCGCCGAGGAGAGAAAGGGGGAGGGAAAGAGAGAGCGGGCTTTCGCGTTTAGGGACTGGCCGATGCGCAGTGCCCAATTTCTCCCAGTCACGTTATGGGCCCAGTGCGTTTGATTTAGGCCGAGGTGCGCCGTTTGAGACCGCAGTCCCACTTATAGGTTTGCATGCTGTGGAATTCGCTTCACAAAGCCTCTGGCAGCACGCACGCGATGATCAAGAGAGGCAGTGGCAGCACACTAAATACTCCAAAGTTTGAGAGCAAGACGTCTGCCAACAAGAGCCGCAAGTCGTGCACCACTGATTTCGCTCTGCAACGCAGCCCGGAAGCCTTTCTCTGCCTACCACCGTCATAAGAGTCGTAGTAACATGACTGAACATCCACTAGAAATCCCGTTGACGTGCGCTAGTGGATGCCGTGCTGACCAAGAGGCTCTGCCAAAAGAATCGGTTGACGAATCCGCTCCAGCACTTGAACGTGTCATCATCCAAGCGTGCGCATGTGTGGTCCCTTCCAGCAGCCACCTTCACAGCTGTCCGGCCCACCCCTAGGTCGATAAATGGAAGGTTGTCGCCCATCTCGCCGGGGCCGTCGCCAATTTTATATTGTGAAGGCCAAAGTTGAGGATGGGCAAGGCCCAAATTGTTCCAGCCCCAGCATTTGAGACCTCCGCCCTCGAGAATGGCACACACATGCCACCCGCCATGCGCGATGTAGATGGCCTTCCTGGAAAGGTGATCTATACTTAGACAGATATTACAAAACGGAACTGATGGGAATCCCAAGCCACTGACACGACCTTCCAAGACATAGTAAGAAGACTTACTACTACATCATGCGGGGGCGGAATGGGTACGGTATACTCCGAGCTTCCGTGGGGTGCCTGCATTGGTGCCCAAATCGACGACCGGCAAGCCATCACCCATGTCCTCTGGCTGCCTGCCAACATTCGGCGTCACCGATGAGGGTTGACCCCTGCCCAGCTGCCCGAAGTCATTGACGCCCCAACACTTGACCTCATAGGCAAGTCTTTCAATTCCGCAGCTTCCCTGTGCAACCGTACAACAATAAGGATTGTAGCAAAAGCCTACGGATAACTACCGAGACGGATCAGCACTAAAAGGCCCGAACCGAGCTCTAAGAAGGGCCGGCTGGCTGCACCAGTGTTGAGCAAAGCACACGCGGAACGATAGCCAACTGACACTTGCACTGCGTGGAGGTCGGTACCCAGATCGATTGGCACGTACGTTGGTGCAGACTTGGTGTCACCGATTACGCTGCCGCGGCCAAGTTGGCCTTCCCAATTCCGCCCCCAACACGTCAGTTGCCGGCCATCTGTTGGGTGTTGGACAATGGCACATGCACTCTGAGTGCCAGCATCGCCGTCAAGTGCAGGGTTGCCCGCCAGGTCCACAGTAGGCAAGTTGTCACCCATCTCGTCCGGAGCATCCCCGGCCTCGTCATTGTTGTTTCCGTAGCCGCCGCTCACAGCATTGGGTGAAAAGCCGAGCTGTCCGGCATCACTGAAGCCCCAACATTTAACGGACTGATCGTCCAAGATGGCACAGGTGAAATGGTTCCCGGCCATCAGTTTCACGACTTTGCGATTGGAACCTACATCCACCGCAGGCAGCACATCCCCCATGCCTGTCACAGGCCAACCTGTGCCTCTGTTAGCGTCGTCGCCCAAGCCAAGCTGCCCCCGCCTGTTGTCGCCCCAACACTTTGTCTCCTCGTTGTCAAGCAGAGCACAAACGTGATTGCCTGAAGCCTGAGAAGCCAAAGCCGTTGCGGTGCGGCCCTGTCCAAGGTCCACCTTGTTTCCAGCTTGGGCTCCGTAAACGCTCGAACCAACGCACCATACCTTGCTAGGAACGTTGGCGCTCTCCACGATGGCGCAGGTGCCTCTCTCAAAGGCTGCGAGGTTGGCCTGAACGAATGCTGAAAAGTGCGCGCTACATCCCTCTACTCGGCCTGTGCCTGCAAGAGGCCCTTCACGTCACCCCAAGCCCTGTGCTGCAAGCTACTGCAGGCTGCTGAGTCCTAGGCCAATGCTTGAGGGGCAGTCGTCGTTGTGGTGGACGTCCTTGCCGCGCAACTGATGCCTCACAAGCCGTCCGCTGCAAAACAGCAAGCGAATGTGTGACGCTTTCTGAGCATTGCTCCTCTGAGGCCCCGGGCAGGTGTCGGGGGCGATCTCCGGGTTGCCGGTGTACCAGCTCTTATCCAAATACTCGCTCTGCACCCAGGCGGTCTCACAGGGGAAGTCGGCCACTGGCGAGCTGTCGCAAACTTGCTTTGCCGCGGGGTCAGGGATGTGGACTGCCAGGCCGGAAGTGTCGACGACCAGGTCCTGGCACGCCTGCACAGCAGCTTGGGTGAGGTTGCTCTGGAGCAGCTGAATGTAGCAGATGACCTTCTTGGCGGCAGTGTAGGAAGCCTCACGGCGTGAGTCCGAAGCAGCAATGGTGGCTAGCAACTGCAGCCACGTCTGGTTGACATTTTGATAGCACGTGTCGATGGCATCGCAGCTGTCCGTCAGCTGCTGTCGGTACTCACAGAAGTGGCTCTCCAAGGTGGACTGCTCCACCCGGCACTCCTCGCTTCGGTTGTTCACCGCATGGAGGCTGCTGAAGTAGGTATCTTTCAGGGTGACCATGCTAGGTTCGAAGCTGGCAAAGAAGCTACTGATGGTGGCTGCGCAATCGATCATGACCTGCAGATGCTCGGCCGTCTGCGGGTTGTAGCCGTCCAGGTAGGCCTGCATGCAGTCCTTCACGTCTTGGGGCAGCGCTTCGTTGCCCTTGTTAAGGTAGGTTAGCCAGTCGGTTCCGTTCTGGCCCGACAAGGTCTGCTCTGTGGTGCGGCAGGCGTCGTGGGAGTTGCTGGCGCCGCTCACAAGGGTGCTCAGGTTCTGGCTTTGAAGCTGTCGAGACGACAAATCGCTGTTGCATTGAGCGAAGCCCTCCGCAAGGTCAAGGAGCAGCTGCTCGTCTGCGAGGTGGGAGGCGTTGATCTGCGCGAGCAAGCTCTGCATCTCCGTGAGCACGGAGTGAAGGAGAGTCATCGTGGTGTTGCTCAAGCCGAAGTCCTCGCGCGTCAGGTTGTAATCGCTGAGGTTGCCGGCATGTTCCATCTCCGCGAGCTTCTGCAGGGCCAGGGCCTCCATGTCCTTGTGGACCTTGTGGACCTCATCCAGCCTTCCTTCCTCCATGTCTGCTCCGCGCTCTGCCGCGTGTTCCGCCAAGCTGGGGAAGGGCCAAAGCGAGTGCCCGCCGGACTTCCCGGCGGTGACCTGCAGCAGCGCGGCCTGCTCGCAGGTCTCCTCGGTCGCCTCGCAGCCGGGGGCGAAGGACATGGCCTGTGTGGCCAAGGCCAAGGCAGCCACGAGGCCGGTCGAGGCCTCAACAGCGAAAGAACCAAAGAATCCGAAAAAGGAAGTATGGGCACAGGCGCGACAGGTTCTGGAAAGCTACAGTATTCGTTGCACTGCCGAGGCACTGCCAAGCGCGAGGCGAAGCCGGGGAGCATGGTGGGAAGTCCCAGGCACGGCTTTAAGGTCGGTGGGCTGACGCGGCGTCAAAAACAACTTGGGCCACACAGCAGGAGTCACAGTACTAGGAGCATCGAGTCGAAGCAAACAAACAACCTCAGCTACGGCAGCTTCAGGGACTCTCAGTCCCATCCCTGAGGAGGTCATTCGCTCCGCAATCGGGGACACCTCCCTGTCTAACAAAACACCGATGCTTTTTGATCACAGCTCCTCTGCCGGCTCACATGGGCCCATGCACAGCGACTGCATGCCTCAGCGGCTCTTCCCGGCAGCCCTTTTTTGTGGCAGGGCAGGGAGTGGGAGTGGGGAACGGATGTCTGCAGCTCCGCTACCCCTGACAACACACTCGTCCCAAAGGTTCATTCCCTTCTAGAGGTCAAGGCAGCATCCAAACAGACCGTATTTAAGCAGGAGCCACCGAGGACTTCTGGCAAATTCCCTGAACTCCAAAAACAGTAGAATTTCACGTGGGTGTAGCCGCGGATCTGAGCTCCGTGCCATTCCAAATCAAATTGAGCCAAAGGCCTGATGCTTCTGGCAGAGAGATAAAGATGAGGATATGACCGGTACGTCTTCTACTCGTTGGGGCGCAAGGCTTGGAGCTAAATGAACGAAACATCCATGAAAAAGAAAGGGCCGCTCAAAATTTCGGGAGTGGCACAAGGCCATGTGCTCAACGCGGGGCCTCCTTGCGCAGGGACCGCAGATGGGGTTCCCCAGAGTTTGGAGAACTTGCAGTGGCGTGCGGAGAAATGATATTACCCGCGGGCAGCTTGGGAGATGAGCTTGCAACAGTTATAGTGGCAAGTGGATTCAATCGTCTCTGAGCCATCTCATTCTCAAGGACCTCCGATCGCTAAACCACACATGCAACCCTCATCATGTTCCAGCCTTCAATACAGGAACCCCGAAAGGCGGAAGCCAGAACGTCAGGATGGGGCTCTGTGCCGGAGACCTGCGAACCCGTGCGTCCTGAATCCACATATCATCCGAACTCCGAAGCCACTGAACCCCACAGCATTCCAAGAAACTCCTGAGCCCTAAGCATCACATCATCCCAAATCCTGTCAAAATCATCCCAAACCCTGAACCCTACACCCTTTTTGCATCCAGCTCAACCCTAAACCCTAAACCCCAAGTCCTAAGCCGCAAAAGCTGGTGCTGCGGAAAGGGCGGCCTCTGGCGCAGGCAGGGCGCAGGCTCAGCAGCCCAAAACATGCTCGGCCTAAGGGTGTCAGGCTTCTCCGATAATAGGGGGCCCTAGGGTTTGGGGTTTAAGGTTTAGGGTTTCGGGTTTAGGGCTTCGGGTTTCGGCGCTCACACAGGGCTTCGGGTTTGGGGGTTAGGGTTCAGGGGTGTAATACCATACCCTACAGGCCCTACATAGTAGGATCGGATCCTTATTATAAGGACCCCAAACTAGAGATAAGGCAGCCATGTTTAGAAGCCAGGATCACCACCCGGAGCCATGTCAGGCCTAAGGGCTCCACTTGGAGGATCATGGGACTTAGTATGTAGGGCTATAAATACAGTCCTGTAGATATACTTAATTACTTATAACTCCGGCTAAATTTTGTAACCTTACTTACTAGGCCCCATGATCCGCCAAGTAGGGCAGGGTTTATAAGTGTATCAGGTCCTGAGCTGGCCCCTTTAAATTGCAGCTGTTCGCCTGAAGCCTCATTGTTTGCGTACTCGGACTCGGACCTTTTAGCTAAAGGGAAACCATGGCTAGGTTCAGCATGACGGTGCGAGGGGCTCAGGGGCAAAATCTCTGCTGAACCAACCAACACTTACACGGCGTGCGGCCAAACACGCAATTACGCGACACCCCCCGAACCAAGAATTACACAACACCCCAGCACGGAATTATGATTCCCGCCGCGCAGAATTACGCAACACCCCAACTAAAGAAAGAATTGTGCAGCGACCCCGCCAAACCCACAGTCACGCAATATACGCACCAAACACAGGCTTGCGCAACACCTCTGCCGAACCAGAAGTACGCAACACCCCTTGCATCCACTGGCGCACTGTCCCCTTGCCCACCTGGCCCAGTGGCCCCACTCGTCCTACGTATCCCACTGACCTCACTTAGGCCCCGCCTTACGGAAGACAATCTAGCTTGGTACTGGCTGCGCGGCATAGCGCGAGCGTACCACATCAGCCACACAGGCAACTTTTTGCAGCCTACTTTGAGTATACAAGGAAAGATACCAAACAGGCCTTGGCCGGGTCCTTAAGTTGGCACCCCTGTCCTGGCCCGAGGGGCAAAGGTGAGGATGGGAACTGTAGATAACTTTACGGCATTTCCTTCTCAGATTCCCGGGTTCCCGATTCGTAGGGCAAGGCCTTGCCACTCCTTGGACTGGGGAGCGAGTGGGTTTCTGGCAGTACTGCAAAGAGCCACAACACCGGACGTGTGACACCCGAGGTTCTGGCGTAGAGGACCGCCACCAACTTGGCCTGTAGATGCAGTGCTTCTGTTCTTGCACCCAAAACAGGACCAAGACTACTTCTTGGTTGCGGCTGCGCAGCCGTGCAGAACCTAAACAAGGTAAGTACCTCGGCGGCGTCTCGGGAGAGCTGCGCAGTGTCTCCCAGAGCCTGGCCATTGGACATCAGAAGTGTGGAGTAAACAGGGATGGACTTCGGAGCACCTCTTTCCCGTTACCCGAGCTGAAGTTGACGCTTCGAATTTGTCGAGTTCGCCGGCACTCGGCAGCAAAAGAGGGATTTGTAGATTCTAAGAAATCATATTGCGACGTCTAGCTTGACTATGTCATTCTTTAGGTTCTTGTGCTGACTCCTCTTGTCGCTCCGACTTCGCTGTTGGAAGCCTGATCTCTGCTCTTGCTGCAGCAAGGACGGGAAAGAATCCGTTGTCATGTTGCTGTCAGTTCTTGTTGATGCTTCCGGATGCGGCCGTGATGGTAATGGTGATGGTGATGACCACACAGTTGTTGTTTCTGATGCTGGGACTGCCTCTTCGTCACGGCGTTCAGCAGACCGTTGATGCAAGGTCCGCGGATTCCTGCAAGGCTCTGACAATGCAACTCTGCTGGACGCTGCACTCCGATCCACCTGTCTGATGTCTGAGACCACCAAAGTTCCGCGTGCTTTGCACATGAAATCATCTCTGCGAGTCTGTGCCTCCACACGATTCGGACTGAAAGTTTCAAAGCTGTCTTCAAAATCACTTGACCACTGGGTGGCTCCCGACATCTTTCGCCGCAGGATAACAGCTGAATAGATCAATGAGAAGCAATCCAAGTCTATATGGCCTGCCCTACTGACCTAGCGTGGCTGCTCAATTGGGTCTCCGTCAAGGAACGATAGTACAGTTGTGATGATATGATATGATATGATATGATATGATATGATATGATATGATATGAAATGATATGACATGACATGACATGACATGACATGACATGATATGATATGATATGATGTGATATGATGTGATATGATATGATATGATATGATATGATATGATATGATATGATATGATATGATATGATATGATATGATGTGATGTGATGTGATGTGATGTGATATGATATGATGTGATATGGTGTGATATGAAATGATGTGATATGACATGATATGATATGGCTCTTGTTAAGTAATAGTAGGGATTGCTCCAGGGAGGCCTGCGTGAATTCTTCTGAGAAGTCTTTCAGTCCTCCAGCCCGAAGACGTGGAACTTCCAGCATCCTCTTCAACACACTCCGCTCAAGCAAGCAAACGGCCGTCTCATGCAACCACATGTAACCGCACCGCTTCAGCCGTTACCGCTCCATCCTCTGACTGCAGCTTGCCACGCTTTCTGCCACTGCGCACACGACAAAACTGCTAAGCAAGCTGCATGCGCACGCCGCCGCCGCGCTTTTGGCGGCGGGCGATTTGTGCAGAAGCAGGGAGGCTGCTCGCATGGGCCGTGGGTTTGAAACCTTGCAGAAACGAGCTGATCGCAGGCTGTTCCACATGCGTCTTCACTGGCACCGCGGCCCAAAAGCCTTGCTCGCCAGAGCCGGTACTGCAGCTGCGGCTGGCGGCACACCTGCCGCCCCTCAAACAAGTCATTGGAACCGGACTTCGTGTGCATCATGCATCTGCACAAAGCCTCGCTGCGCATCTGCTAAATTGCAGATACGCATGCCACTCAGGAACTTGTTAAACAAATCTATAGTCGGAGCTCAAGACCAGACCTGGTTGGATCTCAGATTGATTTGCTTCTGCCGCTTTCAGCGTGGCAACTTTCAACGAAATGGGTTTCCTTGAGAGGAGCTGTCCAACCTCGTCTGGTGCACGCGGTATCACTCGTATGGTGACCCGCTCCGTCTGGCGGAATGCTGAGATGACGGAAATGACGGAAATCTTGAAATCCCTTTCGAAACGAGATTTCCGCAGCGGTGCATCCGAGCTCGCCAGCCCCGAGCCCTCTGTCCCAGCTGCGCCCCCAAAATGGCGCCATTCGAGTTCTCAGTGAGTCCTAGCACCTGCCCATTCAGTTTTGGAGAGGTGCCAGGGGCTGGCATCCCTACGAGTTGCAGCACGGTGCAACGCGTTTCAGGGGTGCTAAACGCAACAAAACTGGCGAGGCTCGTGGCGGCAGCGTTCATTTCTCTTCGCCGCTTGCTACAAGTACTCCTACA